CTAAACGATTTGTGCAACATTTAAATTAATTTGTAAACTTATAGTAAGTCATTAATCTGTACGAATATATTTATATACTACACATAAATCCGTACAAGAGTACGCATAATCGGATTGCAATTATGTGAATAATTAATTTGATTAGAAAACAAAAACATATCAATTGGTGTTTGAACGAATATAAATACATACATACATACAAATATCTATACATGATTTACTGTATTTGCGCATTGCTCAGCCCTGCAGCTTAATAAATAAATTAATTAAATCCCAATAAACATGATTTAAATATCTTCTGGTTGAGCAGGTTTATAATATATAGCAGTTTATAAATAATATCTTTGGGTGTGTTCGAATGGTGGGCTTACCTTTCCCAACAACTCTGATGCAAGTTCATTGAAATTGTGTGATCTCTTGGAAAGTTAGGTAGAAAAAACGTCTAAAGGTTGGCCGGCAATTTTATAGACTTGTTCGGCTGATTAGATGTTATATTCTGCATGTCATCGTGATACTTAATTAATGATGCTTAATAATTGCTAGGGAATTCTCAGGTATATTTCATTTTATACGTTTTAACTTGTAACAAATATTGAGAATAAAATCATGAAGAAAATTAGCCAGATAAAAATTAGCCAATCTTATGAACAATTGAATCATTAATTATTCTCTTTGTATTTAGTTTTCATTAGAAAATTAAGTTGGAATAGCTCGAAGATACATATTACTTAAAGCTAAAATTGAAATGTTGTGGACAGCAGAAAGTGTTTTCGGAATAGAGTTCAAATCAAACAAAGATTTTCGGGGGCAATGTTTGTTCAATCTCTGCCACCATTAGAGCTTCAAACCAATGCTCTTATGCCACAAAAGAAGCACACCAAAGAGTATAGCTCAGTCGATATGTTATTCGTTATTCGACTTGTCTTGATGACAACTATTAAATTGTTTCCACGTGTCTTTGATTGTTCAGCACCATTTCAGCACCATTTAAATAAATAGAACTCTTAGACTGCGGAATCAGAGTTTCCTTGACTGCAAGCAAGTAAAGACAATAGAAAGGCAAAAATATGCTGAAAATCCGTAGTGGCATTGCCGTAGCTCACATGCAAAACGCTGTCGTACCGCTCTGTGGCCAACGGGTTAGAGAAAAGAATTCTCCAATGATTTATTTGAAGCAAGTTCGATCTTTTCCAGCGTCGGCAGACCACAGCTGCCGCAGCTCTACCACGAGACGATGCTGAATGGCAGCAGGCGCTTCCCTTCAAACACATTCCTCGGCCGAATGTGATGTCTCTGATACCCAAAATTTTTATGCCAGGTGGAAAATATAAGGACATGGACCTCGGTCAGTTGAGCATGGCCATGCGAGAGGATTATGGCAATATTTACTGTGTGCCAGCAATAATGGGATCACCGCCTCGCTTAACTACACACAATCCCAAGGATTTCGAGGTTGTCTTCCGGAACGAGGGCTCGTGGCCAGATCGGCCTGCTTTCCATACTGTGGCATACCACCGTCAGACGCATAGAAAGGATTACTTCCAGGGCGTTGAGGGCGTCGCACCCACCAAAGGAAAGGCATGGTTCGACTTTCGATCGATTGTAAATCCTGTCCTCATGCAGCCGAAGAGTGTGAGGACTTACTTCAAGAAAGTTTCGCAGGTCAATCAGGAATTTGTGAAGTAGTAAGCCATTCCACATATATTTTCTATAAAGTGCTAAAGCAATGTGTTCCATTGAAAGCATCAAAGCCATCCGGAATGCCAGCACTCTGGAGGTTCCTGACGACTTCATCGACACCATCAATCGTTGGACCCTCGAGTCAGTCTCCGTCGTGGCCCTGGACAAGCAGTTGGGACTGCTCAAGGACCCGGGCAACAAAATCGAGGCCCCAGAGCTCTTCAACCTCTTGAAAGATTTCTTTACATTATCTGCGGATCTAGAGCTGAAGCCCTCCGCCTGGCGTTACTTTAAAACACCTAAGCTGATGAAGATGATGGGCATTCTCGACTCCTTTCTGGACATAACATCCGCATATGTTGATGAAGCAGTAGAGCGTCTGGAGAAGGAGGCTAAGCAGGGTGTTGTCCATCCTGAGAATGAGCAGGGTGTACTCGAAAAGCTGCTGAAGGTCGACAAGAAGGTGGCCACGGTTATGGCAATGGATATGCTAATCGCCGGAGTGGATACCGTACGTAGTTTTTGGATCACAGAATGATCATCAAATTAATTAAATGGGTTATACTTTCTAGACCTCTAGTACTTTTGCAGCCGCCTTGCTCTGCTTGGCTAAGAATCCAGAGAAGCAGGCCAAGCTCCGAGAGGAGATAATGAAGGTTCTTCCCGACAAGGACTCCGAGTGCACGGTGGAGTCCATGAATAACGTACCGTACCTGCGTGCCTGCCTCAAGGAGTCCCATCGGTTGTACCCTCTCGTTGTCATTAACGGCAGAGTTCTCAATCGGGACAGTGTGCTGAGTGGCTACCAAGTGCCAGCCGGCACCAATGTCCTGATGATTCCCGGGAGCTTGCTATCAAGCGGAGAACACTTCCCCCAGGCTGATAAGTTCCTCCCAGAACGGTGGATGCGTAACTCCACAGATGCCACATCAGAGTGCCCGGCTAATGATTTGAAGCTGAAGAATCCTTTTGTATTCCTTCCCTTCGGATTTGGCCCACGGATGTGCGTGGGAAAACGCATCGCGGACATGGAACTAGAGCTGGGCATTGCCCGACTCATTCGGAACTTCAACATCGAGTTCAATCACCCCACGGAAAACGCTTTCCGCAGTGAACTTATCAGCTTTCCCAACATACCACTCAAGTTCAAGTTTACGGACTTGCCCAATTGAGTCATTGTTAACATATTTTCTTTCTTTTTCTCTCTTTATATTTACAATCCGTCTGTTTAAACAATAAGTAAATTGTATAATTAATATTAAATTAACATAAATAGCAGTTTTCCAATGATCCCAATGGATTAATCTATCGGGGAGATCGAGAATGTGGTATCTTTTCAGTCTTCTTACTGTTAAGCTATTGTCTAATAGACTTAGGGCTAAATTATTTTCGTGGTTGTGGAGTCTGTCGATGTATTTCTTACTAGTTTTCTTTCTTTCTTCTTTAATGGTTGGAATATTAAGATCTTTGTAGATACGTAAAACGGAGCATTGACAATGTGTCGCAAAGTTTTTGATTGGTAACGCTGAAGTATCTCAATATTTGAGTTTCTAGCAGTCCCCCAAAGCTGTATAGCGTAGGTCCAAACAGGCTTCAATATGGATTTGTAGAGGCGAATTTTGTTTTCCAAAGTGGTTTCTGATTTTCGACTTATCAACCAGGACTTGTTTTAATGTGGTTTTTCCATGTTAATCTACTTTGGGGAGCCGTTAAGTGTAACATTTGGGCAGTTACCTGGTCTTAATGAAAACGTTATTTGGACGGACTTCAGGGAGTTGATTTTAAGTTTCCATCGAAGGAACCAGTCTTCGACTAGGCTTAGCTCACTCTGCAGGAGTTCGGAAGCTTCATTTATAGCATCATTATAGCATCAGCATATGTTGCAAGAATGCAGTTGCTTGTAACTGGCATGTCGGCCGTATATAGGGTGTAGAGAATTGGTCCCAATTGGCTTCCTTGTGGGACGCCTGCGTTGATGAGAAGTAGTGATGAATTATCGGTTTTCTGCTGCACGTAAAAGCATCTTCTAGCCAGATATGATTTGATTAATAAATGGTACGGAGCAGGTAGCCATTTCTTTATCTTGTACAACAAACCTTTGTGCCAGACTCGATCGAACGCTTGTTGAACATCAAGAAATGCACCTGTGACATTGCTCAGGGGTCCCGTGACCCCTCCTGAATCCGAATTGGTATTCAGGAATGATGGAAAGTTCGTCCAAAATTCGCAATAGTATTTTTTCAAACACTTTCGACAATATTGTCAACAGACTAATGGGACGGTATGATGTCAATTCCGTTTCTATTTTGTTTGGCGTTAGGATCATAACGATCTCTGCACATTTCCATTGACTTGGAAAGTGGTCTAGTCTGAGAATCGCGTTAAATATAAGAGTGAGAAACCGAATGCATTTTGGTGGTAAAACATTGTTCACTTAAAATTGATTCGGCGTATTTTGTGATAAAATAAAACAATATATATATTGGTGTATATATTCAGGTGCTAAGATTATGATGATAAGAGATTTAATAAACAATTTAATCAAATCAGAACTTTTGTATTTATGTATACCCGCGTATACATATTAATATTAACAAGGTCATGTTTTATTATAATATATATTCGGAGAAATTGAACATCTGCCATCTGCCATCAATTCGAGTATTCATATTTACATTCTATGTATCCAATAAATTATACTTGAACAATTTGAAACTCTCACGTTGTTCCCCTTATCAATGTTTCCCTTTCTTTGCGGTCAGATAACATAAAAAAGCGTTAAAGATTAGTTTGTTGGTACTATTATCTTGGCCAAACTTTTACAATTTTACCAGCAGAGTCATGCTCAATAAATTGAATTTGCCCAAGAAGTCTGATGCAATGGGAACCACCAGAAGCGTGCAAATATTGAAATTGTTTTAAGAGATGGAACATGAGAATTTGTATGTTTAATTTGCTTCAGTGTCAAATAAAGGATTGTATACTTTTTCGATCTTCATTTGATCGGATTTTTTCAACAGTTTCCAATGTGATCAAAAGATTCAAAAGACTGCGAAACTCTGGACAAATTCTTAAATTCCTTTACCATTAGTATTTCCGGAAAACGGTATTCCATAGTCGATCCAATGTCAGTCTATATTTAAAATATATGTTTTATGTTTACAATTTGAATTCTGTTTTGTTTACGCTCCAGCAAACCTGTTTTGGCGCTCTCTCTCTCTCTCTCTCTCTTGTTTTGCTATCATCCAATTTGGCTCTCTCGGGTTCTTGGATTATGTGGCTACATAATAGAACGATCGCCCAGGGGGAGACCAGTTTAGCAGTGGCAGCTAACGAAATAAGTTCCATAGAAGCAAAATGTTGAAAGTGCGCAGCGGTGTATCTATGATTCAGTCGCAAAAAGCGACCATCTGTATCAGTAGTCAGCTGGTAAGTATATATGAAAAAATCACTGATATCACATCGGAATAACCATTTGAATCTTCTGCAGCGTTGGCAGACCACAGCTGTTGCAGCACAGCCCAGGAACGATGCCGAGTGGCTGCAAGCTCGTCCCTTCGAGCAAATTCCGCGGGCGCCGGTTCTGCCCACCATTCGGAATTTTATGCCAGGAGGAAAATATAGCAAACTTGACATTGTAGAAATATTTAAGGTCATGAACGAGGAATATGGCAACATATTCTATTTACCAGGCATGTTGGGAGGCCCATCATTTCTGAGCACCTACAACCCCAAGGACTTTGAGGTGGTTTTCCGTAATGAGGGCGTATGGCCCCAACGGCCTGGTAGCGATACTCTTCGCTATCATCGGGAAAAGCATAGAAAGGACTTCTTCCAGGGAGTCGAGGGAATCATACCTACCCAAGGAAAGACCTGGAGCGACTTTCGATCCATTGTAAATCCTGTCCTCATGCAGCCGAAGAATGTTCGTCTCTACTATAAGAAGATGTCCCAAGTGAACCAGGAATTTGTCCAACGGTACGTAAAAGTTGCAATTTAATTGAATTCTATACTGAAATGAGATATTCTCCATTCAAAGTATTAAAGAAGTTCGTGACGTCAACACTCAGGAGGCTCCAGATGATTTCATACACATTATTAATCGCTGGACCCTCGAGTCAGTCTCCGTCGTGGCATTGGACAAGCAACTGGGTCTGCTCAAGGAGTCGGCCAAAAACGACGAGGCCGTACAACTTTTCAAGGATCTGGAGGATTTCTTCAAACTCTCAGCCGATTTGGAGATCAAACCCTCCCTCTGGCGTTACTTTAAAACACCGAAGTTAATGAAACTCATGAAAGCTCTCGATGGTGTTCAGGAAGTAACTTCCGCTTATGTAGATGAAGCTGTTGAACGTCTGGAGAAGGAGGCCAAAGAGGGAATTGTTCGCCCGGAGAATGAGCAGAGTGTACTCGAAAAGCTGCTGAAGGTCGACAAGAAGGTGGCCACGGTTATGGCCATGGATATGCTAATGGCTGGGGTGGATACCGTACGTCGTCCTCAGATCACGGAGTGTTTATCCTGATTTCATTGTTTCTCTTTCTCCAGACATCTAGCACATTCACTGCGGCCTTGTTGTGCCTTGCCAAGAATCCGGAGAAGCAGGCCAAACTCCGGGAAGAGGTCATGAAGGTTCTGCCCCAGAAGGATTCCGAGTTCACTGAGGCATCGATGAAGAATGTTCCCTTTCTACGTGCCTGCATCAAGGAGTCACAACGGGTTTATCCTCTGGTTATCGGAAATGTTCGAGTTACTGCTAAGGACAGCGTTTTAAGTGGATACCAAGTGCCTGCTGGCACCTTTATTTCAATGGTTCCAACGTCCTTGCTATCAAGCGAGGAACATTTCCCCAAAGCTAATGAGTTCCTGCCAGAGCGGTGGATTCGTAACGCCGCAGACGCCACAGGGGAGTGCCCGGCGAATGATTTGAAGCTGAAGAATCCGTTTGTGTTCCTTCCCTTCGGATTTGGCCCCCGGATGTGCGTGGGAAAGCGCATCGTGGACATGGAACTGGAGCTGGGCATCGCCCGGCTCATTCGGAACTTCAACATCGAGTTCAATCACTCCACGGAGAACGCCTTCCGCTCTTCCTTGATCAATTTGCCAAACATACCTCTTAAGTTTAAGTTTACCGACTTGTCCAACTAAAGCATTTCTTTACCAACAACATAAATTATATATATTATTGAAGAAACAATTAAACAAATTCCACTAAGTAAAAATCGATGTATGTGTCTTTTAGTTTTTACCTATTCTTTTCGTCAGTAGCATAAGTTCCATGCATACATGCAGTATTTTAGGGCAGTGTTACGAGAATGTTATACCTCTTTTACTGTGTTTGAACAAATCGAATACAATCAAATCTATGTACAAAATTGATTAGCTAAGTGTGGGCTGATAACAAAATACCAAATGCCAACAGGTCTGATGCAATGGGTACCACCAGAGGCGAACAAATATTGAAATTGTTTATTATCATTGAGGTTTGTTTTGAATTTGTTACTTTAAAGATATGTATCATGAGAATTCACGCTATTATAAATCTTTTCGTGTTAATAATTTGTTCTCATCAAACTCATTCTCAATAGTTCCACGACTCTCTTCTTACGCTCACACATTTTCTCAATTTATGGCAATGACATTGTCCAGTTTAACGAGTGTGTGCGCGAATGAACCTATTAAATGTTTGACACTCTCATAGGGTATATTGTGTTTATGGGGATGTAGATATGCATGCAACGGTGTAGCATAATTCTTCTTTGGATAAGGAGTCCCTGCCTGAACAACGATCTTGTTGTGGCATCAATTTGGAATTCCTCCTTATTTAATGGGATTATTTATTATAATTCAACAATTAAAAGTAAGTAGCTAAAGGAAATGTTTACAAAATAATTCTTGTTTGTTATTTTTCTGTTCGCGTTCGCTTGCGAACCCGTTTTGCCATTCGCTCTCTCTCTCTTTTTTCTCTCTCTAATACTTTTTGTTTGTGAACTGTTATCATCTAATTTGACAAAAAAAGCTCTCTCAGGTCTGTGGCATTAGAGCTACATAATAGAACGATCGGCCAGGGTGAGATCAGTTTAGCTGTGGCAGCTAACAAAATAGGTTCCACAGAAGCAAAATGTTGAAAGTGCGCAGCGGTGTATCCATAATTCAGTCGCAAAAAGCGGCCATCTGTCTCAGTAATCAGCTGGTAAATATATATTTCATTTTATTTGTGTCTATGTATATCGCTGATAAGACATCGAACTTACCTTTTGCACCTTCTGCAGCGCTGGCAGACCACAGCTGTTGCAGCAGAACCAAGAAATGATGCAGAGTGGCTACAGGCTCGTCCTTTTGAGGAGATTCCTCGGACCACAATTCTGTCTAATATTCTGAATTTTATGCCTGGTGGAAAATATAGCAAGCTGGACATTATGGCATTGTTCCAGGCCTTTCGCAAAGACTACGGGAATATAGTCTATTTAAAAGGTATGATGGGAGGCCCATCATTCGTGAGCACACATAACCCCAAGGATTTCGAGCTGGTATTCCGTAACGAAGGCGTATGGCCCCATCGGCCTGGAGGCGATACTCTTCGCTATCATCGGGAGACGCATGGAAGGGATTTCTTCCAGGGAGTCGAGGGAATCATACCTACCCAAGGAAAGACCTGGAGCGACTTTCGATCCATTGTAAATCCTGTCCTCATGCAGCCGAAGAATGTTCGTCTCTACTTTAAGAAGATGTCCCAAGTGAACCAGGAATTTGTTCAACGGTACGTAAAAGTTGCAATTTAATTGAATTCTATACTGAAATGAGATATTCTCTGTTCAAAGTATTAAAGAAGTTCGTGACGTCAACACGCAGGAGGCTCCAGATGATTTCATACACATTATTAATCGCTGGACCCTCGAGTCAGTCTCTGTGGTGGCCCTGGACAAGCAACTGGGACTGCTCAAGGAGTCGGCCAAGAACGACAAGGCCCTGAAACTCTTCAAGTACCTGGACGATTTCTTTGACTTATCAGCTGACCTGGAAATGAAACCCTCCGTCTGGCGTTACTTTAAAACACCGAAGTTCATGAAACTCATGAAAGCTCTCGATGGTGTTCAGGAAGTAACTTCCGCTTATGTAGATGAAGCTGTTGAACGTCTGGAGAAGGAGGCCACAGAGGGAATTGTTCGCCCGGAGAACGAGCAGAGTGTACTCGAAAAGCTGCTCAAGGTCGACAAGAAGGTGGCCACGGTTATGGCCATGGATATGCTAATGGCTGGGGTGGATACCGTACGTCGTCCTCAGATCACGGAGTGTTTATCCTGATTTCATTGTTTCTCTTTCTCCAGACATCTAGCACATTCACTGCGGCCTTGTTGTGCCTTGCCAAGAATCCGGAGAAGCAGGCCAAACTCCGGGAAGAGGTCATGAAGGTTCTGCCCCAAAAGGACTCCGAGTTCACTGAGGCATCGATGAAGAATGTTCCCTTTCTACGTGCCTGCATCAAGGAGTCGCAACGGCTTTACCCTCTACTTATCGGCAATGCCCGAGCTCTTGCGCAAGACAGCGTTTTAAGTGGATACCAAGTTCCTGCTGGTACCCTAATTTCAATGGTGCCCATAACTTTGCTTGCAAACGAGGAACACTTCCTCCAGGCTGATAAGTTTCTTCCAGAACGGTGGATGCGTAACGCCACGGTCGGCACAGGGGAGTGCCCGGCGAATGATTTGAAGCTGAAGAATCCGTTTGTGTTCCTTCCATTCGGATTTGGGCCCCGGATGTGCGTGGGAAAGCGCATCGTGGACATGGAACTGGAGCTGGGCATCGCCCGGCTCATTCGGAACTTCAACATCGAGTTCAATCACCCCACAGAGAACGCATTTCGCTCTGCGCTTATAAATTTGCCCAACATACCGCTTAAGTTTAAGTTTACGGACTTGCCAAACTAACGTTAAGCCAATCGCAATTGGGTGTACTGTATATATTTGCATTGAAACAAAAGGAAATATTTGTATGTGCTTGCACATTTGAGCACACTTGACACATTTGAAGTATGTATATATAAAAACTCTTTGTTTGGGAGGCAATCAAGAGAATATAATAAAAACCTATGTGCATATAGATTCGTTTTTCTTAGGTATATTATCATTATGAATTTCGTTTTTTGCAATGGTTACCAGCGCCATCACGCCACCATAGAATTAAAGTTTATTATCTTCAAGAGTTTATTTTCTTGCCTGACATTTCTCGAATGATAAGATATAACATTAGGAGGACATATGTTTGTATTTATTTACATACATATACATATACTATATGAACGTATGTACGAAGTAGCTTAATTGATTTTAATATTTTCTCATCAAAATAATGAACAATAGTCGCACTACTCTCTCTTAACGCCACACATTTTTCAGTTGATGCCAATGACATTCACAAATTCAGCGAATGTGCGCTCGAATGAATCGTTTAATTGGTCTGACACACTGTTAGGGTATTTTGAATTTGTGTGCATTGCATGAATAATATATCAAGGGTTCAGGATCAGTTGAGCTGAGAATTATTAAATAATACCTAAAGACTAATCAAATCTGTAATGTTTTTTATATATTAACAATACTTTTGTGGCATTGTTATTCTTTTTTTTTGTATTAATGCTACCCCACAGACCCATTTGCTTGGACACATTCATAATAAAAATGTTGTAAGTAAATAACGGAGTAAAGGGTATCCCAAATTCGATTCAGTAGCAGTCATTAACATCTACAAATTATAGTAAATGTTTACAAAATGATTCTTGTTCTTTTTTTATTTCGCTTCTCGTGCACTCTTGAGAACTTGTTTTGGAGCTCTCTCTCTCTCTCTCTCTCTCTCTGATTGTGTGCTGTTATCATATAATTTGGCAAAAAGCTCTCTCCGGTCTTTGGAATATGTATGTATGTGGGGGTTTATGTTTATTGTTTATAAGTAAAGGTTAATAAGTGATTAAGTATGGTATAACGGTACAAGAATTAGATATCTGCGTCGTTCGTCGTCTGGTCTCGCACACAACCTTTTACGTCGGAGGTTGGATAGAAACTCTCCCTCGGCGCTCTCTCGCCGATCGGTTGTCCGCTCTCGCTCTCATCTCGCTCTCCTTCGTCTTCTCTTTGCGTTTGCTCTCTTGTTTGGAATTCGCAGTGACGCGAATTCGCCCTTGCTCGTTTTGGTGTTTTGTCTAGGGATCGCAATTGGCAAAACCCAGCCCACATGTATATAGCTAGCTACTGGAACGATCGTTCAGCAGCGATCAGTCTAGCTGTGTCTGCTAACGAAAGAAGTTCCTAATAAGTAAAATGTTGAGATTGAGCACCGGTCTATCCATAATTAAAACGCAAAACGCGACCCTCTCTATCAGTTCTCAGCTGGTAAATATATACATAAATATCACATCGGATTAACCACTTGAATCTGCTGCAGCGTTGGCAGGCAACAGCTGTTGCAGCAGAGCCCAGAAATGATGCAGAGTGGGTACAGGCGCGTCCTTTTGGGGAGGTTCCTCGAACCACATTTCTGTCTACCATTCGGAACTTTATGCCTGGAGGAAAATATAGCAAGCTGGACGTTATGGCATTATTTAAGGCCATGCAAGAGGACTATGGAAACATATTCTACTTACAGGGAATAATGGGAGGTCCATCCATTCTGAGCACCTACAACCCCAAGGACTTTGAGGTGGTTTTCCGTAATGAGGGCGTATGGCCCCAACGGCCTGGCAGCGATACTCTTCGCTATCATCGGGAAAAGCATAGAAAGGACTTCTTCCAGGGAGTCGAGGGAATCATACCTACCCAAGGAAAGACCTGGAGCGACTTTCGATCCATTGTAAATCCTGTCCTCATGCAGCCGAAGAATGTTCGTCTCTACTATAAGAAGATGTCCCAAGTGAACCAGGAGTTCGTCCAACGGTGCGTATGACTTTCAATAAATTCTAGTTTATGCTCAGATGAAACCTTCTCTATTAATTCACAGTATTAAAGCACTCCGTGACAAAAAAACTCAGGAGGCTCCTGATAATTTCATTGACGTTGTAAACCGGTGGACCCTCGAATCTGTCTCTGTCGTCGCATTGGACAAGCAGCTGGGACTCCTCAAAGAATCGGTCAATAACGAAGAGGCTCTAAAACTTTTCTCGCACCTAAAAGCTTTTTTCGAGCTCACAGCTATCCTGGAAATGAAACCCTCCGCCTGGCGTTACTTTAAGACACCGAAGTTAATGAAACTCATGAAAGCTTTGGATGGCGTTCAGGAAGTAACTTCCGCTTATGTAGATGAAGCTGTTGAACGTCTGGAGAAGGAGGCCAAAGAGGGAATTGTTCGCCCGGAGAATGAGCAGAGTGTACTCGAAAAGCTGCTGAAGGTCGACAAGAAGGTGGCCACGGTTATGGCCATGGATATGCTAATGGCTGGGGTGGATACCGTACGTCGTCCTCAGATCACGGAGTGTTTATCCTGATTTCATTGTTTCTCTTTCTCCAGACATCTAGCACATTCACTGCGGCCTTGTTGTGCCTTGCCAAGAATCCGGAGAAGCAGGCCAAACTCCGGGGAGAGGTCATGAAGGTTCTGCCCCAGAAGGATTCCGAGTTCACTGAGGCATCGATGAAGAATGTTCCCTATCTACGTGCCTGCATCAAGGAGTCGCAACGGATTTACCCTCTGATTTTCGGCAATATGCGAACTCTCAATCGGGATAGCGTTTTAAGTGGATACCAAGTGCCGGCTGGCACCTATGTTTCAATGGTTCCCATAACTTTGCTTACAAACGAGGAACACTTCCCCCAGGCTGATAAGTTCCTGCCAGAACGGTGGGTGCGTCACGCCGCAGACGCCACAGGGGAGTGCCCGGCGAATGATTTGAAGCTGAAGAATCCATTTGTGTTCCTTCCTTTCGGATTTGGGCCCCGTACGTGCGTGGGAAAACGCATCGTGGACATGGAACTGGAGCTAGGCATCACCCGACTCATTCGGAACTTCAACATCGAGTTCAATCACCCCACAGAGAACGCATTTCGCTCTGCGCTGATAAATATGCCCAACATACCGCTCAAGTTTAAGTTTACGGACTTGCCCAACTGAAGTATTGTTATGCGTGGGTTTTCGTTGTCATTTTCATTAGATGCCTTGTGATAAGATAAGACTTTCTGTTGTATATTGTTGGTTGTTGAAGCGTTCTGTGAGAGATAACAAGTATGAGCCAGGGCTGCAGTTAATCGAATTTGTATGAATCCTACCCAATTGCTGCCCAGCCAGAAGCCTCGCGAATGAAACAATCGGTTTTGTTTGTCTATACATTTAAAGCTATTTCATTTCCAGTTTAACACACACTCAAATATATATATATATGATCTATATATGTAGGTAGACATTCTAGACACTCAATACGGTATATGGTACATTTGTGGTAAACATTTTACAACAGTTTTTGTTACAGTTAGACAGCTCTTGGATTCTGATTCTGATTCTGATTCTGGTTATACTCGTAATCGTAATGGGGTCAGGGTCACGTACGGCCAATCAATTGGATGCGGACTCGCACGATGTTCTTTTGGCCAATTTCAACAATAAAATAGTTAGTTAGTTAGCTTTATTGGCCAAATGCTTGTAGAGAATAGATAAATATTCAATTGAAAATCCTTTCATATTACTGAGTTTTTTGTTTTTTTGTTTCAAGGTATACATAAAGATATATGTTTGTGATTTTTTGTTGTTTTCATATTTTGTTCGATTTCTACTTTGGTTTGGTCCAAATGGATATTGAAACTTTAACAAATTGGTTCTCTTGGGTTCTTTGTTATCATTTTGGTTTTGTTTTTAACGAATTTGTATGTATGTAAGTTATTATAAACATTTTCTAGAAGATGTTTGGAATGTTTTTAATTGTATTTGAAATTTTACTATGTTTATTGTATTTAACGTTAGACATTTATGAGCTGAGTCTAAGAGAGTTCGCACGTTTTTATATATATTTGTATTGTACGTATAACAAATAAATGGGAAATCAGTCCTAAATTATGGATATGAAAAGGTTCGACTTCCTTCGACCTGTGACTATATTTATGCATTCCCCTTTGTTCAATATTCAAAAAATATCCAGAACAAACCTCCCACCAACACATATACAAACGCATAAATGCGTCTGTATGTGTATGCATGTTGTATTGTTCGCCAACTGAATTTTTATGTTTATATTTTAATGCACAATCGATACGCAAAAATATACACAATAAAAGCATCGCCAGGCGGAATGTGGGTGTGGCCATAAAATCGAGCAACAAGACAATGAAAAAAGGAAAATGAAGGCAGACTAAAATTCCGCTGAGCCGCATGTGTGATGTTCTGTCTGTCTCTGTCTCTTCTGCCTTCTGTTTGTGGTGCGTGCCGGGGCAATAAAATCTAATTTGATGCAGGCTCCTGCCATCCACCCCAAACACACAGACCCACACACTTCACTTCTCAAACAAACACACATCGGAAGAAGGGAAAAAATGTTGAATTTTATTCCATGACTCGTTTGAAACACAAACGAAAGGAACTGGGCAGAACAAGTTGCATAGTTTTAGGCTGCAGAACAAAAACACACAAAATGCTGTCGGGACGGAAGTGGTTACAACTCCCTGAATGGCAAGGGGAGGCAAAGCAGCCACCAACCCTTCCAACCACTAACCCCAACCAACTCTTTTCACCACAGAGCCGTTTAAGCGGGCGGCTTAGCGGCCCCAAAAGGCGTAGATAAAAGGCGGCAACAACATAACATGCAATAAAAATGTGCAAAAAGGCGTCGGCAGCCCTGAGTACCCAGAGGACTACTCGTCCTCTTTGGCCTTCTCCCAGTTGTCTGCTGGCTGCCAAGGCATCGCTTAGCTCTTCCTGTCGAGTGTGTGTGTACGAGATGTTAATTAGGTTTTGACTCTACGACCGTGAATGGGTAGAGGTGAGGGTGCGGGTTCGGGTGCGGGTGCGGGGAAACTTAATTTCGCTGCTTTAAGCTGACCTTTGGCCACGGGGGTCCTCTCGACTTGACCCGCTTTGCATAGAGAGGCGCCAAGGTACGAGCCCACCATAAATTTGAAACGACAAGGACATGAGACAACGCTTTTTGTTCTTTTTTTTTGCTGTTTCAGCTATGCAAAACAGGCAAATCAATTGTCGCGTCGCCTGCCACTGACAGGCGACCAGTGCTGGGGCAGGGACGAGCCACAGGGGACGGCCAACAAATTGCGATTGCATGTGTCGGCTCTTTGGCGGATTTTAAACATGTCTGCTTTGGTTTGTGCGCGGGGCTTAACACTGCTACCGAATCATTTCAGGCGAAAGTCGATCGATGCTTCTCATTAAATATAAAATCATAAGCGCCGCAGGACAGGCCCCAGAGCACACATAAATCAAAAACGTTTATTGATGTCTGCGCCCCCACAGCTGCGTATACTTGATGACTTAAAAGGACAGTCCATGAAAAGGATGGCTGGATGGAGATGGGCAAGATGGAAGGCCGCCAGCAGAGTGTAAGTATACATACAAGTGACATCATTTCTTGGGACAACATTAAAAGAAATACATTAACTAATATGAAAATGGGTAGAAAGGACCGACACCATCGAAATGGAGACGCTGTCCCATCAATTATGAGGCGTGACCATAAACAGAAATACTTATTGTTACGGCAACACAAAGCTCGAAGGGGGGAAACACACTTATATGCAAATGTCTAGTCACACTATCCGGTGTTCTGTGGTCGCTGTTCCGTGTTCGGGTATTCGGCATTTCGGTTATTCGGTTATTCGGCATTTCAGCATTCGCTATGGACTATGCACCTGCTCAATATTTGCGGCCAAAGCTTGGCGTGCCCGGATTGAGCACGCGACAATAATGCGAGCTGGTCACGCAATACGGATCCTCCCCATCGTCATCCTGGTGCTGGAGCTGCTGGTGGTGGTGCTGCTGTTGTTGCCTGCGGCGCATTGATAACGGTCATTGGCGCTGCTGGGCGTTGTTGATGTACTCGTTGTGCTTTAGCACCTGAAAAACAAAACGAAAATACAGATTTAAGCAGAGCTTTTCGCGGCGACTGGTCTCCAGTCGATTGCTCCCTTACCAGGTCGGCCACAATGGGCTCCTCGATCTCCAGGCCCTGCAGCGTTTGCTCGCGGCTCAAATGCAGCTCGTAGGAATCTGTGGGCGTGACAAACACCACGCGGTGTTTGCGTGTCTGCAGTATATTGGCAATGACCAGCTGTCCAGGCGGTGGAAGGTTGGGTGGTGAGAGGTGAGAGGAGGTGAGGTGAGAGCTTGCCATCCGCTACTGATTGACTCCGGCTTGACTCACCTTATGCTTGTATTTGTTGAGGCTGTCACGTGCCTTGACAATCAATAGACTCTCGTCCGTTTCCAGCTTAAAGGACACCACGAACGCGTGCGGCACCCAGAGGCTGGCCAGTGGGGCAAGCATTTTTGGCACCAGCTGCAGCGAAATTGTCGGCGCTCCATCGCCCGATTGCATTTTGTGGGTGGGCTGCAACACAACACGGAATGGCAGTGGATTGTTAGTGTTTCAATGGTATATGTATATGCCAGCCTGGTCCTGCCCGGCCCACGCTGCGTATGCGCGACGTGATGGGGGAGCTGCCACGTAGATTGGTTTTCTGGTTGCCACTCCGCAAAAGCCACAAATGGAAAGGACACACACATACTAGCACACTGGCCCACTGGCACACAGATACAGAATGCGGCAGACGCATACACAAGTAGCCGCCACCCAGGACAGGCAGTAAATGTCCTTGCAAAACAAACAGACGGCCAGAGGGACAGGCTGTCGACTGTCGACTGTCGACTGACGATGAAATAAAAGGCCAGGGTTGCCTCTGTGGCCCCGCCACGTGGCATATGAATTACAACTAATTGAAAGCATAACTCAGCCGTAATGAGCTAACGGCAACGCCTCGCTGCACATCCGTCGCTCACCGCCCCCCCAAGGCTCTACTTAAAGCCCTTTAAAAGACGAGAATTGCACATACGCCAGCGACTTGTTGAGCGCCCTCCTCAGTTCTGTTTATTCTCATTAACTGAGCAGCGCCTTAAGCGGCGCTAAGCTCCTGACCAGTCCACCAGTCCTCTCCTTCGACGTACACAAAAGGCAGTCAGGCAGGAATACACGGACAGACGGTCAGCTGGACAAACGGATGAACAGGCGGTCAGGACAGCCGGAGGGGGGCGACATGCCTAAGTAGCCGGGGACATTGTGCGAGGAGAAATGAAAAATGTAGCTCAAGGCATTAAGCCGACAACCAAAACCGAAAGCGAAGAAGGAGAAGGCAGGCGAAAGACAAAAGCAACAGTGAGAAATACACAGGAAGAGAGAGGAAACGAGTGGGACGACGGCATTGACAATTGTGGGGGGGTCGGGCCTCTGGGTCTCTGCTGCCTGATTAGAACTTTAAGCTGCTGAGCAAAAAAAAAGAAAAAAAGAAAATGTTGTGGCTCCTGCACTCAGTGGGAACTGCTAGCAGCTGTTGACATTGAATTTACCCTGCCAACTGTTCTCTCTCGCTCTCTCTCTCTCGCTCTCTCGCTATCCGTAAAGTTGTGTTCGTGTTGGTGTGCGTGTTCGTGTCCCTGCTGTCTGTGTGTGTGTGTGTGTGTGTGTGTGCGTGCGTTCATGCATGGCTCTCTCTCTCTCTTGTAAAATCTTTTGATTTGATTTGCGGATTTCGGCACGTCGCCGCTTTAGTCCTGTTTCCGTTTGGCTTCTCCGCTTTTAGTTTACTCTTTTAATTTGTTGTTTGCTTTTACTTATTACAATTTACTTAGGATCCGCTTCTGGCGCATGGCCTTCCTCCCAAAAAAAGTGAATTCAAATTCAAAGTTGCCTTCGTCGTCGCAGCCTTTGCATTAATTTACAAAGGGCTTTGCCGAGAGAGCGCGTGTACTGCCGCCTGACCTGACGATGTGATGGTGAAATTGACTTTTTAGTATCCTCTTGCACAGACAGACTACTGTAGTGCTTGTAAGCGGCAAGAACTTTCAAGAGTGCCTCGGAAACGTGTCCGCGCTGTGGTCGACCTTGGTTCGGGATTGCAGCAGGATCTTTGGGAATAAGTTTTCAATTGAACAACAAACTAATGATGAAGGGAGGCAAGCAAGCGCTTGCGGGATTGCCTTGAAACACTTCAATAAGCACTTGCAGCTTGAACTTTTATTTATGTCGGTGATTATGCAAATCCCAAATCGATTTGCAGGCAAGAATCATCTCCGAACTCTTAAGTAGAATATGTATCCCGAAAATGCACACCAACATGTGTTCGAATGCCGTACATACATCAACAGGCTCGTGATTCTCGTGTCTGTGGTGGGTGGAGCAGATGGCCTTAAGGATGCCGATGGAACAATTTAATCAAGTGAACGGACGATTTGTGGCTAACACGCCACGACCACCAACGACCACGACCACAGCGGGAGGGCGGGTAGAGCGGTTCGGAATATCTTTGGAATGGAGGCGACAGGAAATGCACGAACTGAGCGGAAACAGAGCGTAGGAAATGCCACGACGACGACGACGACGATGCCTGTGGAAGCGGCAAGTGGAAAACTTTCGTGTTTACCCCCCAAAGCATCTATCACGTTCGGTGCACATACATATGTACACACATATACTACATAGGCAGTGTGTCTGTGTGTCTGTGTGTCTGTGGTCTGGTGGCATGCAAATGTAGAGAGACAGGCTACGAGGCAGCCTGGCAAAACCATTCACACCCCACCAAACGGACATTTGATGCACTTGAGAGCCTTTTGCTGCTGCTGCTGCTGCTGCTGCTGCTGCTCTTGGTCCTGCACCAACAAGTCAGCTGTCAGAGTGTGAGGATTAGTGTGGGATCCGACATGCAAACACGCCCACCAACAACCACCTACTGTGAGTGGGTGGAACTCTGGGTGAACGAAAGCCAAAAGATGGGTGCCAGAGAGAAATCCGCGTGGGCCGACCTCGTCGTGAACAACGGACAACGGATTCAGGTAAAGTGTAGAGAAGAAACATGGTGACAAGGAAAATTATGCAAATCAAATTATATGATGACAATGTTAAGGCTGCTGGCGAACAAGGTCACCGCCAACTCCGTGAGTGACTCTGACAGGCGGTGACTCTGATAAGGAGCAGGAGACAGGAGCAGACGTGCTCCTAGTTGTTGACTTGGTGCTCGCTCCTCCCTCCCCACTGCTGCTGACAGGAAGCCCAGTCTAACGTCAATAATGTGAAGAGGAAATGTGTCAAAGGCAGGATGGTGACTGGTACTGCGGCTGGTACTTGGCACTGGGACACCCGAGATGGAGTGCGCACAAGGGCAACGCAATCAGAATCAGAATCAGAATCAGCTTTGGAAATCGATAAAAACCCATTTCCAGGCAACTAGCGGCGATGAGCAGGAGGTGGAGGCGTAGCCTGGAGCCCCGCCACAGTCCCCAACCCCCATCATCGATGACGAGTGCAATCAATTACAAGATTTCCCACATGGCCGCCTCGCTGCCAGCTCTCCCAGCTTACCATCATGTCCTCGGGTATGTAGAAATCGGATACGGCAGCCGCCAAGTAGAGGACGGCACGTTCCTCGAACGCAGCCAGGCACTCGCAGGCGGCCCTCAACAGCCACATGTAGTCGACGACGCTGGTGAAGTTCACATACAAAATCATTTGGGTCTCTCGGGCAATCTTGTACTTGGCCAGCACCGGTGCAAACACATCCACCGAGTCCGGCTTGATGGCTATCGTCGAGCTCTGGCTGTTCTCCGCTATGTCCAGCATATCGAAGAACTGCTGCCCCGTGAAGTGGCGCGTAAAGGGCTCCAGCGATTTGTGGCGATGCATGAAGATGACGGCATAGTCATGGTCCAGAAAGTATTCCGCCGAGGCAGAGCCTCTGGTGCCGGCACTAAAGTTATCCACAAATCGAACCGTATTGTGCTCCAAAGGTACTGTAGTTCCACCGGACTGCAATGGAGAGATGACAGATAGTTGGGTTTCATTTTGGCTTTGATTTCGATTGGGAGGTGAGGGAATTTAAATCAATGTTGAAGGCAAAAGCAGAATTTTCGCTGCAAACATTTAAACATCTCTTCTCTGCGGAAAACTCTTTTCTATCTACACGTTTTCTCTGCTGTCTGAAATCCAATATCTGTCATATCCAATGTCTCTCATCTTTAAGGAAACCTTTCAGCCGAGCTCGCATTGGAAAAGCTTAACCGTTGCCGTTGCCGTTGCTGTTGCCACCCCAGAGGTCATGTCGGGGGCTTAACCCCACTAATTAATGCGGACTTGAAGAGTGACTGACAGGGGGGAGAGAGGATGAGAAGTAGTGGACTGGGCGGGGACTGCGGCCACTTACCGTGACGAGGACAATGCGATTTTGGATCTTGTTGTGGCGCTCGCAGAACTCTTTCAGCAGCGAGCGATTGTCCTCAAAGTCTGCGGGCGGCAGATGTGTGTTGTAAAAGTCCTCCCAGTGCGTCATTTTTGTTTTGTTTTTTGTTTGCTGCTGTGTCCTTTACCACTTTGCCCCTTGCTTTTCTTAGTCAAGTTTATCCGCTGTTAATTGGCCGCGCTTGTTCTGGGTCGGAAGGAAGCGCACGGATAAACGGGAAGCTCGACAAAATAACGGACAATTTTGCAGCCGGGAACTATGCACTGTTTTCAGTTTTTAATTAATAATAAACAGCGTGGCACCGCGTCGCGTCGCGAAAAGGGGGGGCAACAAGCGGCAACTTTTGGACGCAACAAACTCAAAATTAAAGCAAAATTAATTAGATTCGGTTAAAGCCACGCAAATATATTAATTCCAGCACACACACTGCACGCTCTTGTACTATTTTAATTGATTAATTTGCAATTTAAACGGCTGGCGAACAGAGGGGCGGCTACGGCGACGGTGACACGTTGGGGCATGGCATTCACACTGGGTTTCTTATCAATGAAATTGTCGGACAGGGGCAATGCGCGCAATGCAAACACGAACTAACGAACGAACGAACGAAAAGCTTCTCTCCGGCTAACAAGCTGACGCTGCGCTGCGCTGCGGTGTTGCTGTTGTTTCCTTGTCCGCGGCCCGAGAAAGATTGGATTGACGCGGCGAGTTCCGTGAGATTCGGCTAACTGAGAACGGCGAACGAGGACGAACTGGGTGCGGACAGGCGCACTTGAACTCGGCACAATCCTGGAGTATGTGTTTTACGTATTCGTTGGCCAGGCCCGAAGACTTTGGCCAGGTTTAAAGTGCAAAATAGTCACAAGAAACCCAGCGGAACAGCTGATGCCACCAGTGCTGTGTAAGTCACAAACGAGCGGAGGGTGTCTGAACTAGTTCACGAAATGATCCAAACTTGTTGCTTGCCTGAAATGTTTTGGCGTCCCTGGCACACATTTTATTTATGCAAGAATTTTAAATGAATGGAAAATTAACTATTTGTATAAATATGAATGGAAAAGCTATATTTTGCCACACAAATTGCAGCTATTTGAACTAGTTCCTGAACCGACATGAAGTTGGCTGCAGAACACTGTTCTGTTGTAGAACACTTTTCAGCGCGCCCGCTTAAATTCAAATTCAAAATAAGATGCTTGGTTTACATTCGTTTGAATGCAATACCTAGACAGCATTCAAATCGTTGGTTTATTACGAAATACAAATAGTACAAGTTACAAAAGTACAAAAGAATCTCTATAACAATATATCACAAGAAATCTTACAAGCTAATTGGCTTTGTCAACTGCTGCAGAGTGCTCGGGAAGGAGGGAAGGAGGCCAAAGCGACCTTTGGCACGTACTGTACTGGCGATCGAGAGTGTGCGATGCGGTTAATTGGGCAAGTGGAATGCATTTCCAGTCGCACTCTCAGACAGGTGAATGTAATTGCGATGGAGAATGGCAATATGGGGAAGGGAAACGGACCGCAATTTATGGCATTCATTAGACAATTTCGCTCACTTGCAGGCCAGCGGCTGCACTTGCTCAGTGCACATTTTAAATTGAGCTTAAGCCTAGTAATGTCTGTCTGTCTGTCTGTCAGCCCACACACAGACGGAAGCAGACAACAGGCAAACGGACTACGCACGCGTCGTAGCCGGCGTTGTGGTCGGTGCATACACATGATAATCGAGATCGTCAATGCCCTCGCCATCCTCCTCCAGATCGCGATTAACCAGCCGCTCCCGCATGCCATAGCGTTGCCTGTGGGTCGGGGGACAAATGGGAAATTAGCACTGTCCAAAGAAATTAGCATAATTATGACTTACTCCAGATGTGAACGCCAAATGACGAGACCGGCGTACAGGCAGATCGATACCAAGGCCAAGACCACGGCAATGATGCCCAGCAGCATGTGACTCTCGCTGATGGCATCGGCCTCCACGTCCACGGGCTGCATCTCAATGTTCTCCGCGGTGAATGCCTCCGTGTCCGGTGCGAGAATGCCGTGACTCTTGAAGCGTTCCTCCAGCTCCTCGCTGGCCGCCGACTGGCTATCATCCTCTGCATCGCCCGACTCGAGTATCTCCACGTCGTACTTGTAGTTGCGCGCCAGCACCAGATTGGTGGCCGAGTTCAGCTGATCCTCGTCGCGGTGGGGAAACGCATTTGGCGTCAGCTCCGACGAGCCCGAGTCCGCATCCGAGTCGACATACTGCAACGGAAATATAAATTGTGGCAGTGTCAGGAACGAGTGTCAGGGCTGGGTGCATTCAACGACCCAAATAAACGACCCAGCCGCATGTCATCGATGCGGCGGCTCTTCTTGCCTTGCCTTGCCTTTTGCGTAATTGATTTTCACTTGGCACGTGATTCTATGCCAAGTTTCTAAGTGGATGTGGGTGTGGGTGTGGGTGTGGGTGTGTGTGTCTAGCGGCTAGCTGTGGGGGCGTGCACTTCAAATATTTTGAGATCATCTCTCTACAATTTGGCGCAATAGTTTTTGCCAGGAAATCGGAGCTTGCCGCTGACTCAGCAGCTGCACAAATTCAGGAAGCCAAATACTTTGCTGCTTATTAATCATCATTTAAGCCAACAAACGCGTCAGAGCGCAAATTACTTTTGGGCGAGTGAAAAACGCAGGTGATAAGGGTAGAAAATGGTGGCAGAGAGGTCCCATAAGGTTTACCATATTCGAGTTCTGATCTCTCACTTTGTTGTGCTCTGTCTAAATGCCCGACAACAAAATCTGTTTTCTAATAATCCCTCTCACTGTCTGTCTGTCACTCAAACACACAGACGGCCGACCTTGATGGCCCCGTGGGTCGCTCAGCTGAACTCTGTAATTGGCTGTAATAATTTCGTACAACTACGTGACTTGCCTCTGTCCCAGGCACAGGGCACAGGGCACAGATCAGACTTGATCTCTATCTTGTTTTGTGTAATTGTCCGATTTGTTTACAGCTAACGACTTGCCCGACAATGGGCCATAATAAAGATTATAACAAAAGGTGGCAAGCACGAGCATCGAGATCAGCGATCTCGAAACACCAACTGGGAAACACCCTGGAGACTGCGGGCTGTGGGGAAAACGGCATGCAAACGTCACAATTTGAGGAATTGCCTAGAACATCAATCGGATTGTGGCTCTGACTCAACCAATGGGCTTGGATGGAAGTGGAAGGGAGTTACGCTTGTTGTCAATCGTCCAACTTGCGGGCAGTCCAGTTTGATGGAATTTCGTGACTAAGCCAAAGCTGAAAAGCCCCCATCAGCCATGCGGCTTTTGTGTTTAATTGTATGCAAATGTTTCATTGCTTTTGGTAGCCCGTCGATGGTGCTTTCAATCTTTTCTGGCCATGCCATGCCATGCACATTGGTGGAGTGCCTTAAAAGGCAATCGCCGCGCGTGTCTGCTTGTGGTTTTGCATTTAATCAAAGTGAAAATAAATAAACAGTTTTGTTCAGAGCGTAAATTTCCGGTTCTGTATAAAAATAAACCAAAAGTGCAGCCAGCCACAGAACCCAACGACGATTGGATCGTATTTCATTGGCTTGGGGTCGCTACTTAATGCCTCAGTGCGTCAGTCATGTCGGGGATCTTGGCTTTGTCTCACTGCCCCCTGGCCCAGTTATGTTACCCGACTGCTCACAGGGGGGACTGGCACTTAACTTACCTCCTCGCCAGCAGCTCTGACAGATGTTTTATTTCTGGTTGCCGCTCCACTCAAATCACTGAGCTCCGAGTCACTGGTGCTGGCCGGATCCTTTGAGGGTTTGGCATGGGCTAAAAAGAGAAAGCAATTAGCCAGAAAACAGATAATGAGTTCCCCCGAACCATTCGAGTGCAAGTATTTGGTTACAGCTTATCTTTAGCCCCAAAAGATTTCTGTCTAAGCTCAAATATTTGGCCAACGATTTCGCCAGCAGCACCTTTTGGGCTGCCATATCCCCAGAACCCAACAGACCCGGACAAACCCAATTTGTTGCTGCTGCCCGGGAGGGGGTTTATCAGTTGACATGCATTTTTGGCTACGCTTTTTGGCAAACAAAACGAGAGCGTGTTGAGGCTACGAAAAAACCGGCATGTTGACAGTCAAACATACATGTACATGTACATATGTACATATGTATGTGTATGTTTATGTATATATTTATGTATATGTATTAGCTGATAGGTTGTATGGCAAACCAGTCCGTATCGTCTATACTATATGGCACAAACAATTCAACACATTTCTAATGCCAGTGGCGAAGCGCCTCCAATGCCGATAGCGCGCAAAAATACAGATTTAAATTTCAAAAAAGTTCCATTTGAGCCAGCACTACGAGTGGATACGTAGGTACATATAGGTACACCCTCGATATCTGACAAGTCTTGCATTTAATTGCATTTGGCATTCATAAGCCGCTGCTCGCCCTGCTTTGATTTCGCGACGACTGCTACGTGACGACAATGGTGGAGGCCTCCGTCGCCATCCAGGTGGGTAACTTGATCCATTGATCCACTTTTTGACGTCTGTCAATGTGCCCAAAGCTGCGTAGGAATCGACAGGTTTGCTTATCAGAAAAACCCCACACCTGGGGTGGGGTGCCTGTGTGTGTGTGCACCAATCATTTAATCGTTTCATGTCCAAGTGCTGGCGAAATCTTATCAGCCCGGATGGAGGGACATTTTGCCAATGCCCCGGCATTAAAAGTTCGCCCTGCCTGTCGCTCCCTTGCAACTAGTTGGTGGACCTTGATGTACAATTCATGGGCCTGCATCTGCAGGCGGTCCATAATAAAAACCAATATTTATGTGCTGCGAGCCAGGCTCAGGGGTGCCCGAACCGGACCCCAGTCACGGCACTTAGCGGCAGACACTTGAGCGGCAAAGGGGTAAGCTGAAAAAACTGTAAAACTGAAAACTGTCTATCCAAGTGGTTGCTGCTCCGGCTCCTCCAGCTGCGCGCGAAACTAGTTTCCAGCTAATGGGCTCCTACTCGAACTGGCATGAGTACGAGCGCGCTCGTAAACGTACAAGAATCAATATTGAGAGAGACGCTGCGTGGTTTGAGTGTCTGTCTGTCCATCCATCTGTCCATCTATCCATCTATCTATGTAGCTTTTTTGCAGCTTTGTCATTGGTACTTACAGCACTCTGCCAGCAGCAGCACCAGCAGCAGAAGCACCAGACTGCAGAGCGTTAAACTTTTGCCGTCACTCATCGCTTTGTTCCTTTTGCCGTAACAGAGATACTCTTTTTTTTATCAATAAATATCTTATCACTCGCACAAATTCTTACGCGCCACACACGACCCCGTTGGATATATTGCGTGGGGTTCGTTTCGTTTTTCACTTGTAAATATTGTTTTCAAGGCGGTCAAGAGCGCTGTTCGTTTGGAGCGTTAGTTCGCGGCAAGCGTTTCGAGGCGAATCGAACGAAGCGAAAACGATCCACAGTGCCAAAGTTTTCTCAACCGTCAAAGCTCTTTCGAAGGCGACTGAGTCATCCAGCACGATACCATCGGCAGGCAACGATCGTCAAGCGATGCATCGCCGAAAACAGGTTCTGCTTCCACAGGTGAACTAGTTCCAGCTGGCGTGTAAAGACAAAAGGCGGTTAAGTTTGAACAATTAACAGTAAGGGGAAAACGTATGTTTATTACTTACTCAAACATAACATTTTTTTTCGTTAATTTAGCAGGTATCTGTGGCTGAACAGCTCGCGAGGTGTACCTATAGCTCGCTGGATGCAGGAGTCGCAAATGTTAATTAACAGATTCTGGAAATGGTTACAGGAAACATAAAAGCACTTAACAGAAGCACTCTACACAATCCGATTTTAATAGAGCTTTTAAAAACCACAAACAGAAACAAATATTAAAATAAAATCAATCTCTAAAGAAGTGCCTGCTCAAGCATTCCAAAATTAATTTAATGGCTTACTTAACATATTTTATGCTTTATTTTCTAGACTTTTCAAGCGGCATTCGTGCCTGTGCAGAGCGCGAGAGCCAGTGTATTTACAAATAGGGGGATCGTCTGTCTGGGCCTTAAGATACCTAACCAACTCTAAACTCAACAATTTGCCTTAACAGTCACTAGTCAATATTTGGTATGCCTGGTGCATAAATCGTTTTGCCTGCAATGTTTTAATTTGTGGCCAGACACAAGTGGTGGCACGGTAATCCCGCCAGGCCACGCCACGCACCGAACACGGGGCCAAACTCCTGCCACTCATGCCATACACATATCCAGCTTACATGATAGGTAAAAATATAACAACAAGTATGCGTATGGTGAGTGAGGGGTATGGGCGGCCGGTGAGGGGCGTAGCCGGCGTAGAACCGCCGAACGTGAACGTCGTTGGGTGCGTCCCGCTGGACCTGCAGGCTGCTGGATCACAGATGTCCATGAAACCGACCAGCAGCTCCAGGCACCAACGGGACGCACCCGACTCCTAGATGACAAAACTTTCAAAGCAATCGAAAGCGAAAATGTTGTACAAATGTTTGGAGTCCTTTGGGTCCAGTTCGTTGAAAGTGTCCGTGGGTATGGTTCAGGGTCAATCAGGTTAATGAGAAACTTAAAACTTCTAAGTGCGAGGGGCTCGAGGGGCGCGCCTAAACGAATTGTTCCGTGCTATTGGCGGAAATCTCCAGCAGTCGCCAGGCGGCCTTCGGGTTGAGTTCCTCCCGATCGCGACAGAGCACCCACACGTACGCCACTCGCATCACCTTCTCGGGATCGCCCTCGACAACCTTGCCCTTCTGGTCTCGCACGCACATGATCTGTTGCGCCTGGAACGTGATGATCAGCACGGGGCCCTGGTCCATGACCTTGCCCATGACCAGGTCAATGTTCTCAATGTCCAGGATCTTGGAGTCCAGATAGAGGCCAGCCTTTTTCGCTTGCGTTATGGGCGTGGCGATGATGTTGTAAGTGCTCTCAAAGCACCAGTCCTTCAGTATCTCCAGGTCGCCGCGGACAATCGCCTCCAGGACGTTGGGAATGATGTCAGTTTCACAATCACGCAGAAACTCCTTCTGGTCGAAGTTGGGATCGATCTTCACCAGCTCGGTCATAGTCTCGGACAGCTCCGTTTTGGAGAAGAGGCCACCCATCACGTCAGACACTTTTTCGGTTAGCAAGCGGGATGCACGGATCATGGGATTCTCCGATTCCTCGTACTTTACCTTCCAGTCGAGCACTTTGTTCACGTAGGCGTTGTTGTTCTTAAAGTTCTCCCACGACTGGCTAAACTTGGAGTCCTTGTGCAGCTCCACACCTAAAAGGAAAAGCGATCAATGAATGATTTCTATGCATGATCCATGCCTGCACTCACCTGTGTCCTCAGTGTTCGGCTCAAAAGTACGAGTACTATCGGCCATGTCCACTTGGACGCGCTTCCGCAGCTTCGCTGGTGGCCGATAAACGCGGTTGTCTATGCTCGTCAGGTCCATCTCTTTCTTGATGATTCGCGTCGTGTCGGAGATGGCTTGGAAGGCACCCGACTGGCCCAGCTTGCCGCTGGTATCCGAGATCGTATCGCTGACGCCCTTGGCCTTCTTGGACAGCTCCTCGGAGACCTTTTTGGCCAGATCCGACTTGGAGGCGTCATCGATTACGTCGCCCATCTTGTCTTTGAAGGCATCCAGCTGCTCTTTGAGCTTACTCGACGATTTTTGCGCCTCCGACTCGACAATGTTGAACTTTTGCCGCGCCGACTTCAGAGCATCGGACTCCTCCAGTTTCTGTGCCTCCTCCCGAAACTTGCGGATGTTGTCCTTAATCTCCTTGCTCTTGTCCATCTCGCTCCGCACATTGTCGATGAGTTGCGAGAAGAAGCCGGTCTTGCGTCCAGGCGCGCTATAAAGTCGAGGCTGCGGGACCGAAAGTTTCCCAATTAATGGACATTTATCAGGCACTTTGCAAATGGAAGCTCACCTGCGGCTGGTTCTGCAGGTTGTGCGTCGTCTGTTGCCACGTGAACACGGAGGCGCGCTCCCGCGCAATGGACAAAAATCTGTACTGTAATGAGAAGTGGGTTCACGTTAATCAATTCATCCACTTTAACCTCGAAATGGTCACATGTAAGGTGCCCCGTCTGTGTGCCGCTGACCCCGCCGAAAATGTATGAACCTACCATGGTGACGGGTTTGGTTGCTACGAGGATATGTCGCAGGTTATTCGATCAGTGATGATGACGGCCAGGCAGTATCGCGTCAGCGGCTCCAAATTTATGTAATTCTATCAATCTATCCACGCAGCCAGTCAGCTGTTTTGGACGAGCAGAGCTGGCGAGCAACGATATCGATACGTCAGGGCTGGGCAGCGTGTTCAGTGGGCGCGCAATTCGAAATACAGTGTGGTGCCCTACAAACTTGAATATCTTGTATAATGTTATGTTTGTGTCTCTTTTCATTGTTTTGATAAGTCTATCCCTGCCTATGTGTCATTTTACAATATTGCTTGCCACATTTTTCGAATGCCTGGTAACCCCAGCCAGACATTGATGGAGGGGGAGACTGAGCTGATAGAACCGTTACTTGAGGAACGTCGCCATAAATTTGTTTCAATGCTTTTGTAGCTGGCGCCAGTTGTCTTCGGGATCAAAGCAAAAAAAGTTTTCTCGTCGCGCCGGTCTGACGCCCCGCAAACCTGAGTTGTTTTTGTACAAATAATTTTTATAAGTGAAGAAAGAAGTAGCGCGAATACTTCAAATAATTAGGATTTACTCGGTTTTCGTGAGTGTGAGATTTGGTGCACAGAAAGAGAAAGTAGCGGATCCAATTACGGTAAACACTTGGACTTTGCCATGTTTCGCAGCAGCCTGGAAGGCAACACCAACGTCACAAACGTAAGTTTGCACGGACGCCATTATATGTTGCCGCTATTCTCTTATGGCACCGGCCTTCTGTCTACTGTTGCAGGACAACTATGCGGCGTTCCATAGCAGGGGTGGCCTCAACCTGCTGGGCCTCCAAGACCTGTACTTGGACACGGCATCCACGCTAGGTTCGGGCAGCTCTAGCTTGCCACCGACGCCCAGCGTCTCGTCGGGCACACAGAGTCCGCCCAGCACTCCCCTGACCCCGGAACCCACACAATTCGGTTCTCAGACTCAGTTCCCGCTGCTGACGGACAATGGTAACATGAACTTGGGCAACTTCAACAACGGCAACAACATGCTGCTGCACCAGCACTACCAATACCACCTGATCATCCAGAAGCAGCAGCAACAGTTGGCGCTGGCCAACCATCAGTTGGCGCTGGCCGCATCCGCGGCTGCCGCTGGCGTGAATCATCAGCAAAAGGATGAGATAGCGCGATCGCTGAAGGTATTTGCTCAGCTGACAAGCGCCCCGGCAGGTGAGCACGAGAAGGACTGAAGATCGGTTTGCGAAGGAGGAGAGAAATAAAGAGCAAACGAGAAAAGATGGAACAGATTGAGTACAGTTATTAAGTTTTCGGGTCACTGACCTTTCACAACACTTGTGTGCATCGACAAAATATGCATTTTCCAACACTTGCCGATTGACGAGAAACCGCCATTTTCTTTAAATATATTAGCGAATATTGCACAAAATCGGTTTCTTATTACATATAATTTCGCAGACAATGGATCCGGCTCTGTGCAGGATGTTATGCAGGAGTTTGCGAGCAACGGATACGCCAGCGATGATCTCAATTGCTTCGCTTACAATCCGGCCCCTACGCCGGCCAATAACCTACACCGTAATTTGTCCGCAGCGGGAGGACAAGCCAATCCACCGCAGCCTTTGCCAGCACCAGCCCCACTGTCCGCACGCTGGCTCCACAACTATCGCGAGCAGCTAAACAATGTGTGGCGCTCCATGGCCTACATGCCCAGCATTGGTCAAACCAACGCGGGACTGCAGGCCCAAGCGCATGCACAGGCGGCAGCTGTCGCCGCCACTGGCGTCGGACAAAACAATCTGAACGCCATGGGATTGGGGCTGCCATTGCAACCGGATCACTTCCGACATGGCAACAATCCAAGTAACAACAACAGCAACAAGATGAACAAGCGCTACAAGCCCAAAGAGGTAAGTCTGACTGGTGCAATGTCCGGAGCAAGTTCTAATGGAGATACTTTCTTCCGTAAACAGATCAGCCGCCACTGCGTGTTCTGTGAGAACAACAACGAACCGGAGGCGGTGGTCAACAGTCACTCGGTTCGCGACAATTTGAATCGCGTACTGTGCCCCAAGTTGCGCACCTACGTGTGCCCCATATGCGGGGCCTCGGGCGACTCGGCACACACCATTAAGTATTGCCCGAAGAAGCCGATCATAACCATGGAGGATGCCATCAAGGCGGAGTCATTCCGCCTGGCAAAGAGCAGCTTCTACAAGCAGCAGATGAAGGTTTAGAAGAAGTCTAGCAGAAACCACAGGGAAACTCTGGCAGTTTCAATGCGCGTATATAGCGTGATATATATGCGATTTCGGTTCCTGTGCTGGATACTAGATATTAGCGCCTGGCGCGTTCGTTTTTATAGATTTTTTTTCAAACTAGTCTGCGACTAAGATTATATAGTCAGTGACTGATCACTCAAATCAAATCAATTTCAACTTTTTGATCATATATCAATGTTTTCAAGAGTAAGTAAAATTTTTTAAGAATACTCACAACATCGTTATAATTGTTAAATTCTGGTTGCCGATAGAAGCATTTCACAATCTGAAATTTGAATAGAACTGGTCCACGAAATTTACTCAACATTTTCATGAATCTTGAGCCTTAAAAATGTAAATATGTTTTGTGGAGTAGAGGACTTTGAATTTCGATCTGGCAATCGTAATGGAAATAATAATTTCAAATAACGTAAAGAGAAAAGAACGATTTCGTAGGCATACAAATATATTGAAACTTTTTTAAAATTTGACACTAGATAGTTGATAAGACAACATTTTATTACATGTATCGCTCATACAAACACACACATATCTTCGAGTGTGTAGATGTTATATATATTTATTCAATCATGTTCTTCATCATATTCGTTAACATAATTTTTTTCTATTTTTTTATAAATGTTCACCTTATATCCATCATGTTACTCAAAATTCGAATGGATTATTGTAAGAGTATCATTTTAAATGCTTTTTTAAATTTTTTTATAATTGTGCATCCGTTTGCCATTAAGTAAATCGGAATTCAAATGTTTACATCATTGTAAACCCAATCGGGGATCATGTATTTAACTATCAATCAAAAATCAAATTCTTTTTTTCCAATTTTTTTTATAAAAATGTATACAAATGAAGTTGTAATGCAATCGCAAAATATGTCAAATAAAGATATAAATCAGCAAGTATGCCTTTGGGTTGGGTTTCCTACTTCATATGCTAATCCTCGTCGGTGTCGCGCTTTTTCTCGAACAGCGCCAGGAAGATGCCGTCGGTCAGGTCGCTGTCGGGCAGACAGTACAAGCAGTTCTTGCCAATTTTGGCATACTCCTTGTCGCCCACGTTCTGCCACTTGTTGCGCAGCGCCTTCTTGCAGCTGAGCATCTTGAAGGATGGGTTCAGCTGCAGGCAGCGCTGCACCACCTGCTCGTTCTCCTCTTTCCACAGCGAGCAGGTGCAGTAGGCGATTCGCTTGACGTTGGGAAAGGCGCTCATTGCATGCGACAGGATTTTGATCTGCAGGCCCGCCAGCTTGTAGAGACGCTTATCGTCTTTCTGCTCGTCGCAGACGCTGATACGGCTCTGCATGCCATTGCCGGAGCAGCTGGGATCCACCAGAATGTACTCCACATCCGGACAGCGGGTTGCATCTGCAGACGAACGAAAAGTGTTTGAGGATGGGCAATCAATCGTTTGAATAATTTTACTCACCCATGGTCAGGGCATCGCCCAGAATGGGCGTCACAATTTCACATCCCGCCTCATTGGTAATATCGCACAAGGCCCTGTACCGTTCCTTGGATTGTTCAACCGCGTAGATGCGTCCCTTGTTTTGCATCACGTTGCACATGTGCAGCGTTTTCATGCCTGGAGCGGCGCAAAGGTCTAGTACGGTGGCTCCCACTGGAGGTGCCAAGAGCTCGGCAGCCAGACTGGTTGCCTTGTTCTGCAGTATGAACTTCTTGCTGTGCACAAACTCGTGTTCAGCCCAGTAGCGCGCCACTTTGGGATGGAATATCAGTACGCCCTCGACGTGCAGGTCCGTCATAAACTCATCCTCTTCCATGGCCCGGATGGCAGTCAGAAAGTCCGCATATGTTGCCTCGGCAGGCAGCTCCTTACGCCGCCATTCCTCACCAAGCAGGTACTCCAATGCATCGGCATTGCTGAGCAGATTCGTATTGACTCGGACATAGCGCGGATTTGGCTCTGTGTAGGGGATACAAATGAAAGAGCCGCGTTTAAAAGAGTGTCGAATTGACTTTTATTTTAGTTGATTCAAGACTAAGTTACTGGCTCTTCTTCTGCTCAGCTTCTGCCTCCTCAATTTCCTCCAAGGTAGGAGGATCTTTCTCTCGGAATGCCTTCAGCACGTACAGTGCCACCACAGCGTTGACCACCAGAACAGCGGTCAGCACCGAGTAGCAGTTGACTTCGAAGACGGTCAGCGTGGGGAACGATTCCTTCAGCCAGCTCTGCACACCATAAAAGCCCAGGAAGGGCAGCGTGAACATTAGGAAACTGTAGGCCAAGAGCCACAGAAACACCTCCAAGCTTCGATCGAGCGACTGCTGCCGGGGACGTTTTACAATTTGTGCATCAGCCTGAGCCACGGGCTGAACGGGCTCAGCGACCTCTGTGGTTGCTTGCTTCTTGTTCTTTTTTCCCATTGCACTGCTTTTAGCCGGCTAATACTGTTACAAATACGTCAATGTGGGAACACCTGCCTTTTTTTTGGACTTCTGACCCACTTATGGCCTTCTCCAGGCGTTCCTTGTACAGGCGCACCGTTTGCACAGGCTTGCTGTCGCCGGTCAGTTGGCCCCTTCCGAACACAATTTCCGTCACCAGCACTTTGGCCAGAGCAGAGTCGAGATTGGGATTGTCCTTCAACAGGCTAGTCTCCTCGATGGCGTTGTCTATGGCGTGCCGATTGTCGCTATAATGCCTCAGCACCGCTTGCAGAGTGCGAACGCGCTGTGGAGTGAGATGAGAAAATTTGATTTGCTCGCACTTTGAATTGGTTGAGGCGTCACGGCTTACTGCATGCTTTTCCTCGAATATCAGTGATTTGATTGACTTTTGCTTTTCCAGGGCAGCTTTCAATATTTTGGCTGTGGCCCTATATTGGGTTGGAACTTTTACGGAATGCGTGAATTTACTCATGATATAGTCACGTGTGTTTGTATCAGTGTTAACGCGGAACTATCGATAAAATATACCGTCAGAGCCTCGAAAATATACCGAAATATACTTTTTAATTGTTTACATATACCAAAAATATACCGTAGTCCTAAATCATATTCCTCGATTTTGATGTTCTATTTGATATTACTAGCTTGCAAGGCATTTTAACACTGAAACATTAATTTAGTCCAGTTGAAGAATCAATTTTTTATAATGTTTATTAATGTAATGGTCTGTTTTATTGAATTTTGTAGGAAATAAGGTTTTATATAAACCGGGCCAATGCATAAATCCTGTTAGATATACAATGTGTGCGGTATAAAATGTATGTATATATGTACATATGTATGTACGGCAGGTCAGCACACTTTACAAGATGCTAGGTATGCTACAGGTATCGATATGGCTGCAAACATATATTAAAAATATGACAATAAAGCCCAGTACTCAGGCATGCAAAATATTATTGCTACAGAAAGTGCTAAATATTTCGCTCTGTGACCGGTGTGACCAAAGTAGACCAAAGTGCATGCTCTCTGGCCACACTGTTTTGTGTTTGTTTACAAAATGAAATCGTGAAGTTGGAAGGAAAAGTGTACTGGCGGCTATTGCTAAATAGTTTTCTATCAATTGCATCTAAAAGTTGAGTACCAGCAACTGCTCTTCAATTGATTCACTTCAAACGATGTAATTCCTTCTTTGTTTTATTTCACAACGACTAAAATGCGGTTTAAACATATCGTTTAGCTTAGCTAATAAAAATTCATGCGTTTCGTTTAAAATTAAGAGCATCATGTTAATTAAACACATAAGAAAAGAAAACTACTGGCTAGTACACAGGTTTAAATGTTATTTATGCATAGGTAAGCCCCAACAAATGGTTAACTGCTCGCAACTTTATGCTAATTTCTGAATTTCACTATTGCATGCCCTACGTGCTGTGCCCTCTGCTGCTGCTGCTGCTGCTGCTCTCGGACGTGATTAGGTGCAGCTTGGTGGAAATGGGTCTCAATGATGATGAGGATGATGGTGATGACGATGTCGATGGCGATGAGTGCGTAAAGATTGTGCTTCCACTTCCGGTAGTGCTGCTGCTGCTGCTGCTGCTGGAGGTGCTGCTGGTGCTGCTGCTGCTACTGGGATAAACGGAGGCTGTGGTGCGGCTGAATGGCACCGGATTGGAGTACTCCGTCACGGGCTGTGCACCAGGCCGCACAGGACTCTGTGTGGATTGGAATTCCTCCGGCAGCTCGCCGTGGAATGCACCAAACTGCGGCGTTGTCCGTATCAGCTGCTCCAGAGGCGTAAGCCCGTAGTGCGAGTGCCTCAAGAGGCCATTGTCCCGTGCATCCAGCTTGGGCGGCAGCACCAGGGAGCCATCCACCACGCTCTTGCCATCAAAGGTGTACAGCGCCCCGCTGGGCAAGCCGGCGTGCGGAATCTTTCGGTTGTCCGGCGGCAGGTAGTAGGTGTCAATGCGCTCTGCGGCTGCTGCCAGCTTATCCTCCGGCTCCAGCTCATCCGCATAGATCTCTTCCTCCTGCGAGTCTGGACCGAACAGGCTGGCCATGCCATCGTCGAAGAGCTCATGCTCTGGCTCTTGCTCAGGGATGGCAATCGCTGGCGTGGTGCTCGATGGAGTGAAAGCTGCCGTAGATGATTTCTTGGCTGGCAGAACCGGCTGCTCCTCCTGCTCCTCGTCATTGAGTTTCTCCTCCATATCATCGTCTAGATCTTCCTCACCGAACAACTCCCCCAAAGTGGGTTTGCGAAGCTGGGCGGCTGAGGGCAGAGCATGCTCCACTGCCGCCGAAGGTAGTCGAAGTGCTGATGCCTCCTCCTCCTCATCTGTCTCCTCCTCGTCTGCCTCGGGCACAGCTTTCTTCATCTGTATGGAGGCATTGATGCTGTCCAGGGGCGAGGGTATGAACATCGGCTCGAAGCTCTGCGTCTCGCTGCCTCCCTGCTGGGCGACCAGGAAGAGCGTGTCCGTTTCCATGACCTCGTCGATCTCGGTGCCCGGATCCTCGCGCCGGTGTGCCACCTGTTCGATCAGCTCTGGCGGTAGTTGAACACCGCTGCCATCTGTGCGCATGATCGGCCGGAAGCCGCTCTCCACAATCACGGTGTCGGGCTTGAAGCCCTGATTGACGGCCGGTCGCATGTTGGCAATCTCCTGGGGCGACGGCTCCTTCTGCAGCGGTCGCTTGACGATGCTCGTGGTGGTGGTGCTGGGCGTAGCTGTCGAAGCGGGCTTCTGTTCCGGCTTCGAGTGCAGATTGAAGTAGGCATTGCTCTGCAGGGATGCCTGCGGTTCGTGGTCCGTGTAGGGCACGGGGATGACCGGCTTTGGCTTTGGCTTCGGCTTGGAGCGTTCCCCGTGCTCTGATTTCCGCTGGCCAGCTGATCCCAGCTCTGTGGGCTGGCCAAGCAGCAGCACCGATGCTGCTATGGGCTGCAGGGGGAAGGGCTTCTCCTTGACAAACGGCTTCAGCAGACTGGGCACGGGCTTGCGATAGTGTTGGACAATCAGCGACGACTGTTGGAGAATCCCTGACGGATGAGCATGCGGATGGGGATGCTGCTGCGGCAGGATGGGCCGGGATGCTGGCACCTTCTTGATGGGACCGGGATAGGGCCGGCGGCCGGGCAGCTTTACCGGATGGAAGAGCGGCGCATTCTGCGGCGGACGCAGGTACTCGGACAGGCTGATGGTTTTCTGCGCGAGCGCTGGAAGGTTACTGGTTAGATTGTGATGATGCAGTGGATGCGGGTGCAGATGGGGGCTTATAATCGAGGGCGGGTGGGGGACATGCTGCTGCGGATGGTGCAGGCGGTGCAAGTGCAAATGGGAATTGTGAATGAGATGTGGGCCAGTGGCAAAGATGGGAAGTTTCGGATGAGCAGGCAAAGGCAACGACAACGATGAGGGAGATGCAGATGCAGATGCGGATGCGGATGCGGATGCAGATGATTGGTGAGAATGGGTTTCGCCGAGCAGTATCTCGGGCCGGACGGTGGCCAGTTGGGGTAATCGAGAGCCGTTGATGGTTATCGGTTGATGGTTCGGCAGATGGGGGCCCGAGCTCACTTCGTTATGTTTGGGATTGGGGTTTGCGTTTGGGTGTGAGTTCCTCAGAAGGCTCTCCTCGAGAGCCTCAGCAGCGCGGATGCCATCTGAAATCAGTTTGGTTATTTCCGAAGATTTCGTTATTTCAAAGCTCAGTTTAGGCGGTGTTCCGTTCATATTGTGGTTCTTAATCAAATCGGTTTGGTGCTTCAATAAAAAATTATCGTTGGGGCTGACCTGGGTTTCGTGTCGGATCGACGACTCGGCGGCATAGTCCTCGTGGACGGGCGCCGGCTCGGCCGCGGACGCGAACGCCGCAGCGGGCACACGGATCTCGTGCTGCTCGGAGGCTGCCCCCTGGCCACCCACATCGCCCTGCTCGCACGAGTCGTGCACGTGTATCTTCCAGCCCAGATAGCGATGCGTGAAGCAGTGATAGTACACGGTGTCCGGCGTGTTTCTGTCCGGCTTCCAGCTGATCACGCCCGGCTCCCCAGCGTCGCACTTGAGCGTGAGGGTGCGCTGGTAGGCCCCAAAGGATTGATAGTCATCCGCCGGCGGTCCCTCCACATCCGGTGTCCAGTTGCACAGGCGACCCACGCCCGTGGGCGTCACCTGACCCGAACGCGAGCGATGAACTCCAGCAAATATGCGAACAGCCTGCAAATTAATTTCCAAATCACATCAGGAATTGCTCTCCAAACTCGGGTCTCACCTTCTTCTCCTCCTCGCGCTTGTGCTCGTAGCCACCGACTGGATCGTCGCTTATGTAGAATGGATGATACTTGGCTGGTATGTCGGGATTGTTGCCACCCTCCACCACAAAGGTGTAGGTCTTGCCGCGCACCACATGGATCTCGGGTATAAGCAGGCCATTGATGTACCAGGAAATGCCCCAGCCAACGTGGCCTAAACCAAAGATAGACAGAAATTAGCCATAAAAATTAGAGTTAAGCTGATAGCAACCCTCACCAGTGATGGCTGGATAGCCATGCTTGCCGCCGGTGGGTCCCATTTGTGCATAGAAGACGCCATCCTCTGGCTCGTGGCACTGAATGGGCGGAATGTCCCAGGCGCCGTTGCTGTTCACTGGCTTGGGTGTGGGCACCGGGCGTCGCTGGGTGATGATGCCCGTCTCCTGGCGTCGCTGAGGTGGCTGGCGATGCAGAGCCTCTGCACGGTTCTCGTAGAACTCCTCCTCAGGCTCGAGATTGGGGTGTCCGGCTGGTGGATAGCCCTTGCCGCCGGTGGAGCTCTGTGTCGGCAGAGTGACGTCCTCCTGCTCGGCGGAGCTGCTGCCCGGCTTGGCGCCCTCGGGCAGGGGACAGTTCCACTTGGGCTGGCGACCGAACTCGATCTGATGCAGATGCTTGTTGTAGAACGTGTGGAAGGAGACTTCTTTGTAGTCGTTCAGCGGTCCAATGGCCCAAACGACGGACTCGGCATCCGTGACGGAAATGGGCAGATCCAGCCGATCGGTGGCCGCCAGCGAGCGCTGATAGGTGACAATCGAGTAGCCATTGACCATGGCGGCATTCAGCAGTCGAATGGAGTTGGTTTTCTCCATGATCTTGGTGTCGGGACAGGCGCCACGGCTGCCGGAGCACTGGGCCTTGCCCTCCAGGAAGTAATCCTGCGCGAAGCCGTTGCCCGTCTGCGGATCCACCCAGGCGACAACGGCATCGGCGCCGATCATCTGGCTGATGTTCTTGTTCGGCGAGATGCCGAAGGACATGTAGTTGTTCGGTTCTGTGGAGGAGCAATCACAATGAGAAGCACTCGGGGGTGAGGTGAGGGACTGGCGGCAAATCGGGACTGGGTGGGGCTGCTCTGGATTGATTTGTATTCTACGGTGGAAATGGCAATCAACGAAAGTTGCTTGACCCAATTCTCTGCTGGCCACTCAACCGGTTGGGCGGGCATTTTTCCAGGTGAAAATTCCTGCCGGCATTCTTAGCGGTTGTAAATTGCTCAGCCAAGACCAAGACCAGTGGCAGCTGGCTCCTAGATGGAGATGCAACTAATGATTGTAACTATAACTATAACTATGGAGATGCTCGCTGCCCGATGCCCATGCCTTGCAGCTTGCAGATGCAACCAGTAAATCGCTGCCACTGCGACTGCCCCTGCCTCCTGCCACATTCATCCATCCCATTCCATTCATGTATCCATCCATCTGCACACACCACACTCGCAGTTGCGCAATAAAACCAGTCGTCATAATTCGCGACTTGTTATTCTGCCGATCGCTGGGTGGATGCCGTCGCCGTGGATGCTGATCGGTCAATTTGGATGCTAACTGGATTTCATTGTTGCCCCGTCCGTCCGTTTGTCCGTCTTTTGTCTGTGCATGTATGTTTCTGTCTCTCCTTTGCGAGTATTAACTGTACTTGAGAAAATGTCAAAGCATCATAAATCAACAGTAGCCGATGCGAGGTGCAATTCGCATGGAGCCGAAGGCTTGTCGCCGCCTCGCCTGGGATAGGTCAGGCCAAGGGTGTGGGCCGCTGTGGATCGATCACGCCTCTGGTTTCAGTTCATTGTTTACGCTGCACTCACAAAAATATTTTTGTTCATTTTGTGGAACATTTTAACGTTGTTTGTCCGTTTAATTCTGTTACTTTAATCATTGAAATATTTCTCTTGATATTCCCCATAAAATTCCCACAAATTAGAGCGCACACATCCATTAATTTTCTTGAGTGTAGCAATCAAAAAAGCATAAAAAATTAGCACACTCTTCTGTTAAACTGCTAAACTCGAATCGTTTTCACACTTGGTTGAATGTCAACGCAGTGGTAAGTGGTTGGTGGGGGAATGTTTCCGCATTAATTAACACTAATCCCCGATGACTTACCCAATTTGGCAACCAATTGCACCACAATGCTCTCCCCGGCCACGGCCCAGCGCACCTCAAAGGCCAGATCGTCGTAGAGCACCTCGCAGTTGAGTTTCGACTGGAAGAGAATTGGTTTAGGGAGAATTCGCTTTAGGAATGGGAGTTCGGGCTTCGGGGTTCGGGGCTGTGATTTGGGTGGTAGTGTGTGTGTGTGTGTGTGTGGGTGTGAGTGTGTGCGTGTGTGGACAGAGGAGAGGGGAGTTGCCAAAGTCATAATTTTGAGCATACCCAAAAATGTTTGTTCTTTTGTTTTGCTGTATTCGAAATATTTTTGCTTTTTGGAATGGTTTTTTACAAAATGAAAAATGTTTTTTTTTGTTTGTTTGGATTTAGCAGGGAGATAAGTTAGTAGTGGAAATCGGATAGGATTGGGGGGAATGGACTGTGCATGTGTGTCTATGTGTGGGTGTGTATGTCCAGTGTGTGTGTGTGTGTGTGTGGGTTGTGGGAAAGTTGTGGAGGAATTGTCGGTGGGGAGGGGGGGTCAGTGTCCCACACATATTTCATTTTGTATAAGACGCTCCCAAAAACAAAGTTCGCACGCAGCGGAACAAGCAAAAGTTGACTCAAGACTCAACAAAACACAAATAACAAGCACAAGTGAGTATTACAAGTACATATTTATATATATGTATTAGATATATTAGATATATAATAGAATGTGCGGCTGGATTCTCTCCCTCCTCTGCCACACCCTCCATCCATCCATCTTCTCGTATAAAGAAATGCAAGCTTAGAGTCTAGGAATTGGCCAGGCGACTGCCGCGGCATTCGATTTGATAAATATTCGCATACACGACCGAATAAAGTAGAATAAATACGATGGTTTAAATAGCTTTTCACACATTGGCCTCCCCTCGTTCGGTTCGTCGATTCACTCGATTCACTCGACTCATTCGACGGTCAGTCAGCGCTTCAGTTCGCTGAGAATGAGACTGATCGGCTTCTTTACCTGTGGACTGATGCCGAGCATCTTCAGCGATGGCGGCACATTGAGGCCCTCCGGCAGGCGGACGTGGCCAAAGTCGACGGTGAAGGCCTCACACCACACACCAAAGTGCCCGATGTCGAAGATGGTCAGGTCCTCGGGCAGGGTCAGCACGATGGTCTTGCGCTCGTAGCGACGCAGCGGATTCTCCTTGCCGTTCTCGTCGGGTATGCGCAGGCCCTCGGGCGTGGGACGCTGTCCCCGACCCACCCAGAACTTGGCATCTATATAGAAATTAAAATGAAAGGTTAAAGAGTTTGACAGGCAGAGGCTCTACCCACCTGGCGCCTCGCCATCGTAGCTAAAGTTGGGCACCAGCAGGGTTTGGGCATCCACGATCACAATGTTCTCGGAGGACACGCCGTGGACGCCGCGCAATGCGCTAATTTTCTGTGGCCTTGGAAAATCCAGACTGGCTGGTATGGTCACATCCCCGAAGTTCACCGCAAACTCGTCGCACCACACGGAGAACCACTTGATGTCGCGCAGCGTCTTGCCCTCGGGCAGCGACAGGGTAATGTCTTTGTTCCGGTAGCGACGCGTCAGGGAGGCTGTGCCCCCACGTTCGTCCCGCAGCCGGGTGGCACCCTCGTTGCTGGGCCGGGCCGTGTTGCCCACGTAGAAGTAGGCGGCCGGGGCCTCGCCGTCGTAGCTGAATTTCTTGATGAAAATCGTGCGCGAGTCCACGGCATAGACGTCGCCGGAAACGCCATGGTGCAGACGTGTCAGAGCTCCGATCTTCGTGCCGTAATACGGATACGCGGCATCGCTGGGGCTGGGCAGGCCTGGGAAGCACCACGAAAATATAGTGAGACTTACAGCCGAGCCACAACAAAAGACTTAGGCAACAAACTCTGGGCTGAGTCACTAATTAATAAATAACTAACGATATAGCCACGAAATGGAATGAAATGAAGTGAATTGAAATCTCCATCGCCACTTAGCGGCCACTTAATTATTCGCATACGATTTACATATCAAGAGCCAGCACTGAGGGGCTCTAGGCAGGCAAACAAATGCTCATAAAATCCCAGAAAACAAAAATCAACAAAGAATTAAAAATAAAACAAAATGAAATCTTTCGATTTGATTTCTGAATCAGCTGAAAATACATATCTGATTCGGGTTCTCTTTGTTCTTTGCTTGTTTGGCTAGAGGAAGTTGCGGATTAGCGGATTTACGGGAAATAAACTTTGAAAACAATCCAAAACTTTGTGATGTGATGCGTGCCCTAATGGGAACTACACAACATAATTCTGCTTTGTGTTTCTTTTGGGGGAGATGAATGGTTCTAAGCCGACACTAATGGCGGACCCCCCGGCATGTGTGTGTTCCCACTCCCACTCCCACTTCCACTTCCACTTCACCTTCACAATCTATGCTTGTTGTTGTTCAAATTCAATTTATTTTTATTTTATTACAATATTTGCGCTGTTGTTGTGATTTGGTTTTTGCATGGGCCATAAACACGTTTGGCTTTTTAACAGCCATCAAATGGTTTGGTCGCCATGGCCTGCAGTTTATATGTTTTATTTTTGGTTTTTCTCTTTTATTTTTGTTTTTTTTGACACAACCCGATTGGGTTTTGGTTCACTTTTCATGTGGCCATGGCTGTTGGTGCTCCAAATATTGCGCAGACATGGACGAGTCTTTCCTGTTTGCCAGTAGAATGAATCTCTGCCCAGACAATTTCCGCTTTGTACCACAAAATGTGCCAGAAATCAATGATCGGTGATCGGTGAGGTAGCGAGGTGGCGAGGCGTAGGAGAGAGACTTTGGCAAAATGCCAAAGGTGTAATTAAAAGTTAAATAAAGCCAAGCACCAAACAGAAACTCTGTGCAATCAGTGGCAAGCGCTGGTGTGTCTTATTAATGATGATCGGGCTAAAGTTAGACAGAGCCATTAGGCAGCCAGCCACCAGGCCAAGCCAGGCCAGGCCAGGCCAGGCAGGTAGGTACGTAGTCGTCAACTCAACTGTTGGCCAACTGGTTGGGGGCAATTGGCAATTGGCAATCGGCAATCACTGGTAGCCACTCGTATTGCCAAACCAATAGATAAAGATGCAGATGCAAATGAAAATGCAAATGCATATTCAGCATCCAAAAGAGTATCCACCAGTACCTAGCTGATTCGCACCACGAATCCTCAACCTACAGACCTACTTTCGCGGAGCAGAACGGCTTTCCCACCGCTCGATTGCCTGACTGCCCGTCGCCTGCCTGTCTGCCTGCCTGCCTGGAGGTCTCCGAAATGGTATCAAGGAAACAGACAGGCACTGAAATTTATGCTAATCTGTGATGGAAATGCTAATGCAGTCGGTCGGCCAGTGCCAGTGCCAGTCGGCCAGCAAGTTGGCCAGTCAGTCAGAAAGAGACAATTGGAGTTGGTCATTCAGTCAGTCAGTTGGCCAGTTCAACGGTCAGCGCAGATCATAAAAGCTGTTGAATATTCAGTTGGCTCACTTTACACTCACAAAAGATGATGCATACACACATCTATGATGCGGATAGACGGACAGCCAGACGGACAGACGGACACACAGAAATTCGGCGTGTCATTGAGCTGTGTATTTGCTGTGGGCTCATTGTCCGGGCCGCCCTCTGGCCATAAATAGTGGCCACTAATCTAGTTTCTGTCTCTACGGACGTAGAGCCGCTTCGTCTACGTCTGCAGCTCGATCTGCCTCAATTTGCATCACAATGGCACTTATAAATCATTGCCCGGGGTACTTACAGCTTAATGCGGCCAATAGGCCAAATAGCACCAGCCAAGGTTTATCCTTCATTGCCAGCATGGCTAATTGATTGTACATGTGTGAGTGTTTAGCTCTTCTGTGTGAGTGTTATCTGGGCTAAGGCCCGATTTGGTTTCAATTGATTTGCAGAGGGATTGCAGTGTGTTAATCCTTGCTAAAGCACAGCACACCACCAAAAAACACTCTGAGACGGAGGTAGGCCTCTAGCATTCGCGACACACACACTTCAACTCGAACTCGAACTCGGATCGGAACGGATCGCACAGTGCAACAACTCTATAAGCGATCGATGGGATCGATGGTTCCTGCTGTTGGGGGGATCTCGACCAGACGCAACGAACTCCAAAACCGCACTGAACGACAACGACGCTGCGTCTGCGCTGTGGGGTCCGACCAAAGAGTTGAAAAACTTTCAGCCACCGCGCTGTCCCGAAGCTTCTGCTGCTGCTGCTGCTGAATGCGGCTCGTTGTTGTTGTTGTTGAAACTGCGAAGCTGACGTTGGTGAAGCGCGGACTGCGACGCTAGCTTTGTTGGAGTCTGGTTTTCTGTTTTCATTGTTGTAATTACAACTGAGTGTTTGTTAGAGTGGTTGTTGTTGCTGTCGCTGTAGTTGTTGTAAGTGTAGAAGTTGTTGTTTAAGCTGATGTTGGAGTGCTTTTTTTTCGTGTATGTTTTCTGGTGTGATTTGTGCTGTAGTCTCTGTGATATTTAGTGGCGTTGTTGGTATTGTTGTGGCTTTAACCCGTCTCATCAGCGTCGGCAATAATTATCACAGTCACACAGCCTCATCTAGCAACTTCAAACGTCTTTGGGCCGGCACCTTTTTGGTAACGCGAAATATATATGTATTCATTTTTTGGCACATCTTTTGTCAAATCTCTTGTTGTCGCTTGTTTTGCCGTTTTATTTTGTATTTTTGCGAATTTTTTTTTGGGGTTTTTGCTGTTGTATTCAAATGTTATTCTGCGTTTTGAACTTGTTTCGCTGCTAATGCAATTTATTTTTGTCAAATTATGCCACAATGGGAGATAGAGTTGAGGTGGCACCAAAGTGGGGAATACACAGTACTGTATTTACTGTCGATTATGTTACCTTTTAATTAATCTACTTACAATGATTTTTCGTAGATAGTGTCGAAGCATTTGTATGCATTTGCCACCCATTTTCCATCATTTTAATCACACTATATGTTTATTTATATAAGTAAAAGATGTTCAAAATGTGTATCAATTTCTTCTTTTTATTTGTTGCGATTTTTGCCGCGATAGTTAATGATTGAGTAATCAATAGCCACAACTTGAACGCTTTATTTTTCGTATTCCCTGTGCATACAATTCAATGCAATGACCACTCATGGGTTTAAATAAGCCCAATCACAAGCAGACACACACTCTTGTATTTCGCATTGCCCTGGGAGCCCTGCACTTTCGATAATGCCCGCTATAGTCACTTTACTGGATTAGATAATCGCGCATTGGATCGCTCTTAATTTCCCATGATGGATGGGGATGGATAAATGCTCGGATGGGCAGCTTTGATGGAAGGTGAAAGAAAGTAAGATTGGCAATTCGTGATCCGCGGCCAAGTTCACAGCTGGGGGTCGGTTTCTGAGATTTGCTTTGGTTTGGTTTTGGTTTTGGTTTGGGTTTGGGTTTTAGCTGCTCGTGTTGGCCCCCGGCTGCTGTACATCCGAAACTTTCCCGTCCAAAGGGAGCGCACAAAGGTCAGACTTCGGACTGGCGCTTGTACTGTTGTTGCTGCCGGCTTGTTAACCGTTGGCTCGTTGCTTGCATAATTCAATTAAAGCTTCAATTATAATTATGATAATTTCCTGGCTCAAGCCGCGACATTGAATATGAGTGTATTCACTGAGTCAAGGCAGGGCTAGAGTCGATGTCTCGTCTGCGTAGGTTTGGGCATCCTTTTGTTCTTGCCCCCGCTCGGGGCCTTGGGAAGCTATTTGGGTTCTTTGTACCCTTTGTTTGGCCATATGCCATACAAAATGTTTGGCTTATAATCTCCCTTTTGTACAGCAACAAAGGCAACGATGAATCAATAACGATATGTTGATGATTTTTATAACACAAGCGAATGTTTTTTTCGCGTTATGATTTTTGCCAAAATTTAAATTTGGTTTCAACAGATTTCTGCTAAATCGTTCCAGCTGTTACAACTGTGAACGTGATCGGTTGTTCAACATGGGGCATACATATGTACACATTTATGTACTACATAATTATAAGGGAAATGCTGAAAAATACAGAAACGAAGAAAAAACGCACATTTCGTATATATTACTGACAGTCATCATGCTTCAGGTCTCTTTGCTTCTCTTTGCTTCTTTCACTTTGAAGACACACCGGGCAGAGCCACAAAAAGTCATATTTCTTTTATGAAACGCTTTCATAACCAAACTCCCTGCAAACCCAACCCAGTCACTTTACTCCTCCTCTCCCTATGCCGCTCTTCGTAAGCCCAAAACGAAATTGAGGTACGGCCGTCCCCAATCTGGGGGAACTGCGCCGGCGACTGCGTCTGGGACTGCCTCAATGTGCGTAATTTGAATTGCCATCAAATTAGTTTTTAATTTCTCAACTGACATTGGGTATACAGCGAACACCAAACACCAACTCCGACACGAATAAACATTAATAATTCAAACATGGAGCTACCACATTTGGTTGCCCGGTCAGCCGGTTAGTCGAACCGATCCGGTCTTCTTCTGGCCACTTTCGCATTTGCATCGCCGCACTCCGGGCCATTAGATTTATGACTTTAAGCCGCATTCAAATGCTACGCTTTTCGCTGTCCGTCAGTGCCGCTCTTCGAGTTGATTGATCCGAAAATTATGCACGAAAACATCCAAAAAACAAAATCCAGCCAAGATGAAGTCTGAGCGTAATTTGCCTTTGTTATGCGAATTTCTTTGGTGTGGCTTTTATAATGGCAGAGCCCTGATTTATACCTGACAGTTGGAGGTGGACTTGGCAATGGATTTGCTTTTCTCTTAAACTTCGCCCGATATTTGACTGCATGACAGATCAGAGATAAGCGTAAGAATAGTCACCCCATCCTCTTTATGTAAGCGAAAGTTGTTGTGTCTCGGCATGATCGATAATTCGATTATATTACCATTTCCTGCCTCGCTGTCGTTTCCTCTCACTTGCATCATGCATTTTAATTTCAAGTAAATGTCCATATATTCAAGGTGCAATAACTTTCAGTATTGTTTGCCAAAGTGCTCAATCTAAGGTCAAGCGCCAATCGGCACACTCGCGCAATAAAAAAATCAGAGGGGGGCCTGTCCTAAAAAGTGGAAACAAAACAAATCAAACAAAAGCAAGATGCTTTTAAATCATGTAGCAAACATCCTATTCGAAAAAATAAACATGAAAAGAAAGCTTTCCTGTTGGTATAACGAAACTGGAAGTACTCTATAGTTCGAAAAGACTCTATAACTCTGCATGGACTTTTGTAAGACCTTTCAGAAGGCCACAATTTCATTTAAAACCTTAAAAATATTCAAATATTCCCATGTTATTTACAAAATGTTTAAAATGATTCATTTTGGCTCTTTCGATCATCTTCTGAACATAACGATGATACCTCTCGCTAGAGTATGACGATTAGAAAGGAAACTTGACTTAATTTATGATCGGCTGACGCACTGACAAAGCACATTCTAATCAGGCCCAAGAGTCATCAGCAGTGTCGAAAATAACATTCAACTTCTACCACAAAAAATACAATGAATAATGCTGAATTTGTTATCAGTTTGTTGTTTGTCAGGCCAATCGCGTGCCTTAAATTTTAATTAATTTAATTAGTCTCGCGCTAGAGACAAGAAGTACCCAGAGATGACCTTGGGCCAGCTGCCACGGACTGGTTCGTGGGAGAAGCTGCTGTGGAACCTCTTGGCTGCACATGGTTTACGACTTTATTGTTCAGGTGCTGACACCACACCTCCTCCTCCTCCTCTACCACTTCTTTACCAATTCAAGGTCAGACGACGCCTAATGCCGCCGATGCTGAGAGGCAGAAGCTGAGGCTGATGCCAAGACTGATGGTACTGAACATCCACTGCTGTCTGTGCAATGGTTTCTCATTTGAATTTTTACCACATGCAGTTAGTTTTATGCTTTGCATTTGCAAATAATGCTCCCAGAGTTCTGTGTGCTTTGCCTGAGGAGTACGAGTATTTATGGCCCCGGCTCGTGTAATTAATCTTCTGTAAAGCTGTAATAAATGCGAATGCAAACCCAGCCTTTGCTGCAGTACCAGTGGCCGTATTAGCCACTGTGAGCCGCATGCCATTCGTTTTCGCCTATTGCTATAAATCTCCTCTCCTCCACGCTTATTTATCATTTTGCCATTTCCATTGGGCGACTCTTTATGGCATTTGCTCTAGCTGGCTGCACTTGCACTCGTCGCTTGTTGGGGGGGCCACCACATGTGGGTGATTGGGTGGGTGGAGGCGACATGAAGTCAAAAAGTGGCACTTGTGCTTTTGTTAACATAACATTGAAAACTGCGTACTAATATTTTGGTATTTGCAGTGACTGGAGATGCATGGAAAATATTTACGTGACAGCCATTCCGCTAAAGCTTTAACATGTAGCTCTAAAGGGAGCCTGATCAATTTTAAGCTTCAGTTTTCGCTTATGCTTACATTTCAGAAGCCAAATTATGCCTCTCCAGTGTATGATCACACCCGACACACGTGTCACACAGAAAAGAGCACTGAAATTCATATTATTTGACGGAAACCCGAATCAAGCGAAAGATTGAGCAAAAATAATATTAAATCTGGGAATTAAAGAAGCACCCAGAACAATTTAGTTGATTTATTCAAAGTTGATGCCTAAAGCAGGGCTCGGCTCGGTTGCTGCGCCGCCGCTCACTCGCTCACACGCGTACGCGTGTTTTACAGTGGCCTGTAGTTTTCCGTTTTGCTTTCTGTCTACGCCCACAAACGTACTGTAAAACACATTAAGGTTCATGAAGAAACATCTAGCAAACTGCAACAGAAGCGGGACAGCGCAACAGAAGCATTAACAGTTTATGCAGTCTAACAGCACAACAAAAGCATTAGCTCTGTTATATAACAGAGAGAGCCACAGCCAAACGCAGAGAGGAAAGAACAGAGAGAGTAGAGTAAGCTGTGGGCGGCGAAGATATTAATACCCTTATAAATCGATCGAGTCACATTGATTTGGAAAAAAAACAACACAATTGATATTGAACCTATTGCTTATAATCGTACAATTATTTTCTTTAGAGTTGTTTATAAATACATACATAAATATGTATGTATATTGATACAGCACAATGCTGGGTCTCTGCAAACATCAAGTTGAAACTAAAACAGCCTCTGCTAGGGTATAAGTAGAGAGAATAAGAGAGAACAGACACAGCGAGAATGAGAGAGATAAGCATATGCTTAGAATATGTAACGGTTAAACAGCCAACGGCGCGCCGCGTGGGAGCTCGCTCGCTCGTCCGCCCCTGTCCTCCTCTCCCCTCATCTTTCCTACACGGCATACAGCCTGCTCTGCTTGATATTTCCGAGCATTTTTCGAGAATTTCTCTACAGTTCAGTTTTTAAAGACCCGCGAACCGTGAAACAGTGCAAACCGTTGCTCGTTCCGTTTATAGATCATCCATTGTTGATCGATTGAAAGAAAACAAGAGTTTGAAAGTTGTGCGATCTTTCAGTTGAAAATAAAAGTAAAACCCATTGATTAATCGACACACACATACACGCAAACAAGATGCACAGCAAATTGTTGGACGAGGTGGGTCAAGTACTAAGTATTTTCCGCCTTTAAGAACTCATATTCGATCGGTCTTCCCGATTGTGTGAGTCTATTTTGGTGGGCTAATGGCAAGCATCGATTTATTTATTGAAAGACGCGATGGCTTCAAACGTCAGCATGTGGGAACTTTAGTAGTTAGTCATACCCATTATAATTATCCTGGCTGAGATCTGGCCCGAGTGTCATCGTGTTATTTACATCCATCAGAATCATAAACATTTCGTTGAGTCGACTCATTCGGTGGAAAATTCAACTGCGGAAAAGCATTCTTTTGTTGGACCAAAGAACAGACAAAGCGAATGATTCTCAAAGGCAGCAGCGGCTGCTGATGAAACCAATTGAGGAAACGGTTTTCCATGTCTCAAATGAACCAGAGTGCTATCTTTGATTTCCAGCCGAGTTCTTGATCGGATTGACGGAGTCTATGGTAATAATATATCTGTTCAAATGGGGCTTAATTATGGTTTGGAATAGTTTGCTGACAAACTGGTTTCGACGGTAAACATTTTGATGGAAGCGAATATTAAATTGAGCACAAAACGTGTGGCAATTCTTAATCAGCACTGGAATTGAATATTCTAGTGCCCAGACAAGTTCTAGTTCATCAAAGCTTTCAATTGCAAAGTAGCCCCTCAGGCAGGTTCTAGTTTAACAAACACTATACATATTTACATTCATATGTATGTATTTATGTATGTACATATGTATAAACCGTCTCGCACTGCGCAAACAGAGTGTGTCCAAATGCTCGCTTGCACTTGTCGTAATGAATGTCAAACATAAAGATTACAGAAGCTGCTGGTTGAGCATTTGATAACATAAGTAGCTGTTGCTAAAGCCATCTACTCCAGAATAACTGACTTGATGCTCCTGCAATTCGTCAAACGGTGGACAGCTGATGGACAAGATCTATGCCCACTGTCAGCTTTGATCAGCGCAGGTGTGTTCGTTCCTCTGTTCGTTCGTTTGTTCGTCTTCTGTTTGAGTCACGGCGACTATTTATACTCTCGTTTTTCGTTTTCAAGCAATTTAAATTTATTTAATTTAACCCCACTCGGCGAAAGAGCCAAAATTGTGAGGAAGAAAGAGAGCGCACCCACCAGGAAAATGATATATGTCTTTCAAATGTGTTTACCAAACCGAAATTTGTTTACCCTTCTGCCAAACAATGATTTATTGAGAAGCTGATGGAAATATACACATAAATTTCCCAATTCTCTGCTCATCAAATACAATTTGGCTGACAATTGAAGCGGTTAGATGGCCCATTTTACCCCATTTGTTTGAAGGGAGGCACAAACATGTGAGAATTGCCATTTTACGTTGACTGATTTCAATGAATGAGCACGAACTGCCGTCCACTAGTTATGTCGGACAGCATTAACATTTTGACATGCATTAGAATTTGTTAATTAGCAAACGCTGAAAGATCAGACAATGAAACAACGAGAACAAAGAGCATTTATACATAGTTTTGCCATTCGATAGGTGGAGAAGTCGACAGGGGGCAGGGGAACGTGCGCGTGCCCGTTACACAGTCGGTCAATCAGTCATATAGATAACATCCCAAGTTCCCATTACCGGACCTACTCGAACAGACCGGGCCAGACGAGACGGCGCAGGCGATAAGAGTCGGGACAGAGATTATGAATAGAGAGACCTTCGCCCGCTTTCATGGGTGTATTCCATGCCAAATAATGACCAATTTATGCCTCTCATCCGGTTACAGCTGAACGAGAATGGCTACGTTGTCATCGAGGACTTTCTCACCGGAGAGGAGGTGGACTCCCTGTACCAGGCTGGACGGACCTTGTGCCTGGATGCCCCACAAACAAATCGGAAGATCTTCAGCACCATCAAGGCCGAGGATGCACACAGCAAGGAGCTGTACTTCATGGATTCGGGCGACAAGGTGCGCTACTTCTTCGAGAAGGGAGCTGTCGGTGAGGAGGGGCAGCTGCTGGTGGACCCCATGATTGCGCTGAACAAAGTGGGACACGCTCTGCACGTGGAGCATCCCACCTTCAATTCGATCACATTCAGCAACCGCGTGCGGGAGATCTGTTGGCAGTTGAACTACAATCGCCCGGCCGTGTGCCAGAGCATGTACATTTACAAGAATCCCGGCATCGGGGGCGAGGTGATTCCCCATCAGGACTCCTGGTATCTGCACACAGAGCCCAACTCTGCGGTGGGCTTCTGGATGGCGCTCGAAGATTGCACGCTGCACAACGGTTGCCTGCAGTTCATCAAGGGCTCCCACAAGAGCGGCGTTCATCGGCGCTATATGCGCAATCCCGACACCAATGCCACCGAGCTGATGGTCTACGATCGTGCTGCTCCAATCTATCCGCAGTCCAGCTTTGCACCCATTCAAGTCAGCAAAGGTGAGTTGGAGGACCAAAAGTTTCCAACAAGTTCCCATGTTAATGATCTTCTTTTATTTTCCAGGCACCTGCATCCTCATCCACGGCAATGTGGTGCACAAGAGCGAACAGAATCGTTCACAGAAGAGCCGCCATGCCTACACGTTCCACGTGATCGAGACTGAGAATAATGTGAAGTATTCGGAGGATAACTGGCTGCAGGCCCCGCAGGACAAGCCCTTCCCCGTGCTGTTCGAGCGCAAGGCCTAAGGAACTGATCGTGATGTGGTATTCTTTGCATATAAGTCCTCTAGTGAATCCATAAGTTTTGTTTACATGCCAAAATGTATGAAATAATCGTAAATTTAATGAATAAATGCAGTATATTTTGAATTTGAACGTTGAGAAAGCAGTTCAATGAGTTTGGTGGTGTGTAAGCAGTTGATTTTCGTTGCTGGTGTCGAAGCAGTTCAATGCCGTAGGTGGCGCTGAAGCAGTTCAATCGCTGTGGTAGTGGTGAAGCAGTTCCACAACTTAGGTAGTGTTGAAGCAGTGCAGAAACAGCTGATCAAAACAGATAGTGACCGAGCTGAAGTCAAAACAAATACATTTATTTGATCCGATAACAGTCGAGAGATAGAAAATGGCCCACAGTAAAAACAGACTACAGCTGAAATTCATTAAAAAATTATTAATTAATAGTTGATCTCAAGTGGCAAAGGGCAATTTGGACACTACTTTAAACGAGTAAAAGATGATGGTTCACCTCAACGAGTGCCCACTGTACCTGCCCCCTTGTGGCATTTACTTAAACATGTTATGTTTGACACAACCACAACAATTCTCGTTCCACATTTTAAATTACAAAAAATTATCTGCCTCCGCCAGTGGCTTGGCTTCCATATCGCTCGTTGACACTATCTAGTGTCTTGTTCCAGTCACTAGTGTCCGAGCTCTCGAATGGTGTGGAATTTAAATTAAATTGCTAGAAGTTAAACGTAGAAAATGTCTGCCAGCAAGTGGGAAACTGACGAGGAGATTCAGTTCTTTCGGGAGTATCTGCGCATTCCCAGTGTTCATCCGAATCCAAACTACGGTGAGTGAACCTGCCACACCCTACTCTGTGTATCTGCAACGCTATGAATGTTGCTTCCACAGAACCATGCTTGGAGTTTCTCAAGCGTCAGGCCAAGCAGTTGGAGCTACCGATCAGGGTGTACTATCCAGTGAATGAGCAGAACCCCGTGGTAGTCCTCACCTGGCAAGGTCTACAGCCGGAGCTGCCCAGTGTGCTGCTTAACTCTCATATGGATGTGGTGCCCGTGTTCCCTGAGAACTGGACTCATCCTCCGTTTGGTGCGGATATCGATCAGGAGGGTCGCATCTTTGCACGCGGCACACAGGACATGAAGTGCGTGGGGATGCAGTATCTGGCAGCCATTCGGGCTCTCAAGAGGAGTGGCGCGACGTTCAAGCGAACCATTCACATCTCCTTTGTCGCAGGTGAGAGTTCAATGTACATGTGTACAGACAGAGATCTAAATATTAGAATATCTCCCACTCAGATGAGGAAATGGGAGGCAAGCTGGGAATGCGTCCGTTCGTGCACACAGATGATTTCCGTGCCCTGAATGTGGGCTTTGGACTGGATGAGGGTCTGGCATCGCCCACCGCAGAGTATCCTGTCTTCTATGCGGAGCGCAGTGTTTGGCGTAAGCCCAAACAATTCCATGATTCACTTTCTGGTACTAACATTCTGCCTTCAAAGGTGTCTACTTCCACATCAGTGGCACCTCAGGCCACGGATCCCTGCTGCTGCCCAACACAGCGGGTGAAAAGTTGAACTACATTGTCGGGAAGATGATGGCGTATCGCAAGGTGCAGGTCCAGCGACTGGAGAACAATCCCGAGCTCTGCATTGGCGATGTGACGACCATAAACCTGACCAAAGTGGAGGGCGGAGTGCAGAGCAATGTGGTGCCACCGCTGCTGATGGTCTGCTTCGACTGTCGTCTGGCTTTAGACGTGGATCACGAGGAGTTTGAGGCGACTGTAAGTCATGCTTTACCTTCAGCCCAGTTACTGCATTTATAATGTAATTGTGGTGTTTTTTAAAGCTTCAAAAATGGTGTGCCGAGGCTGGTGGCGGCATTGAGCTGACCTACGAGCAGAAGCAGCCTCGAGTGCTGCCCACACCCATCGATCAGAGCAATCGCTTTTGGGTGGCATTCAAAGGTGCCACGGACAATCTGTGAGTAGAAGTTACAGATCCAGGGAGTGCTCTTGCTAAATGTTTATTCCTTACCCACTCCAGAGGACTTTCCATCAAGCCGCAAATCTTCACTGGCGGCACCGACTCGAGATATCTGCGCCAGGTGGGCATCCCGGCATTGGGTTTCTCACCGATGAACAATACACCCGTTCTCCTGCACGATCACGACGAATTCCTGCGAGCGGACACCTACTTGAGGGGTGTGCAAATTTACCAGAAGATCATCAGCAATGTAGCGAATGTGGAGTGTGATTGTGTATAGACTAGTGGCTGGATAATAAAAGTATTGTAACCTCACCCACATGCCTTAATTTACGATCAAATTGCTCCAAGATAGCTTGTCTGTCTGCAGATAATCTTAGATAAGCTTCAGTGTGTGTAGATCTTAGCCTCTTTTGCTCAGTTTAAGCTGAACCTTTGAGCAACAAGCAAAGATGAGCGCCAACGACTGGGAGTCCAACGAGGAGCTGCAATGCTTTCGCGAGTATCTGCGCATTCCCAGTGTCCATCCCAATCCCAATTATGGTTTGCGTGGCTGTAGGGTATCTCATGATATATCTTATTAATCTCATTTGTGTCCAATCAGAACCTTGCGTCGCGTTTCTGAGACTTCAGGCAAAGCAGTTGGAGCTGCCCATTCAAGTTTATTACCCAGCCAATGAGCAGAATCCCTTGGTTGTCCTCACCTGGCAGGGCTTGCAGCCGGAGCTGCCCAGTGTGCTGCTCAACTCTCATATGGATGTGGTGCCCGTGTTCCCTGAGAACTGGACTCATCCTCCGTTTGGTGCGGAGATCGATCAGGAGGGTCGCATCTTTGCACGCGGCGCACAGGACATGAAGTGCGTCGGGATGCAGTATCTGGCAGCCATTCGGGCTCTCAAGAGGAGTGGCGCGACGTTCAAGCGGACCATCCACATCTCCTTTGTGGCCGGTGAGCATCAATCAAGTTTGTAAGAAAATATCTGAGATTATACTTTCAATGCAGACGAAGAAATGGGCGGAAGACTGGCCATGCTTCCCTTTGTGGACTCCAAGGAATTCCGTGCCCTGAACGTGGGATTCGGCTTAGATGAAGGCATCGCCTCGGCCACATCCGAGATACCCGTGTTCTACGCCGAACGTACAGTGAGACGTATGTGAATGATAAGAGTTTATTCTTTCATACTTCAAAGTGATCTGGATCTGCCCTCAGGTGTGATCTTTCAAATTAGCGGCACAGCCGGACACGGTTCGCTTTTGCTGCCAAACACTGCCGGCGAAAAGTTGAGCTACATTCTGGAAAGGATGATGGCGTTCCGCAAGGTACAATTTCAGAGGCTCGCCAGTAGCCCGGAACTCTCCATTGGCGATGTAACGACCATAAATCTGACCCAAGTGCAGGGTGGAGTGCAGGGCAATGTGGTGCCGCCGCTGATGACTGCCTTCTTCGACTGCCGCCTGGCCCTCGACATTAAGATCCCCGAGTTTGATGCCAATGTAGGGGCCATTATCTCAGCGAGTTTCCATATATTAATAGCCACACATTACAGCTACACAAATGGGCTGCCGAAGCTGGTGGCGGCATCGAGCTGGAGTACGAGCAGAAGCGTGGACACATTCCGCCCACTGCCACGGACGATACAAATCCCTTCTGGGTGGCTTTCAAGGATGCCACAGACGAACTGTAGGTTTTTCTTTGGATTTTGCATTCTGAGTTTCTATTTTTGTACTTTTAGTGGCCTGAAAATCAAGCTTCAGGTCTTTCCTGGTGGTACCGACAGTCGATATCTGCGTCAGGTGGGCATTCCGGCATTGGGTTTCTCTCCCATGAACCACACACCGGTGCTCCTCCATGACCACGACGAGTTCCTTCATGCAGAGACGTATCTGAAGGGTGTGCAGATCTATCAGAAAATAATAAGCAATGTTGCCTGTGTTTGATGGACGAGAAATATTGGTGGAAGTTATTAATAAACCTATAATCTCACAGGTTTATTTATTCTATAGACTGGCATCTGACTTTTGAATCTGGCGCTTTCTTTTCTACATGATTTCTACATTATATTTACATATGCACAAAGAAAAGTATGCAACGAATCTGAATCGGTTGAATCGGTTCACTTTTATCGCTTAATAAGGTTCCATTTATTACCGCCAGTGGCGCTGCTGTTGCTGTTTGCGACAATTGGCAGCGCGGTCAGAAGTGGGCGCCACTTTTGAAAGATTTTCAGGTTGCAGGACAGCCGATCTAGCTACTACACTGCCTTGGACTGACTTGGCCGTGGCACTGGGACTTTAATCAGTAAAATAGTTTACAAAAACATTTATTTGTATTTTTGTTCAACTTCTTAAGGCTTTTCCGCATCTAGGGCAGGAACATTGACGCCCATAAGACTGCAGTAAAAAAAGGGGCGAAAATGTAGCTTAACTTAATTCACATACAGGCACTTCTATCAGCTTGATATTTGTTTGTATTTCCCTTCGGCTTCGCCTTCCCTTTACCGCTTCAACTATGTCGCAGCAAGCTAGTGACGCTTCACATTCTGAAGATGGTTAAGTGCTTTTAACGAGAATATCGGCGACGCGGCAGCAGCGTCCATCTGAACTAGAATACAGAAATATGCAGCTCTAACCATACCCGATTAAGCTGTTCTAGTGGCAAAAACTCTGTCCCTTTGCCGCCCACCAGCTATGCTGCAGCTCCCACAAGGTTCCCAGCCATAATTTGGCCACCGCACGTTGACAACCAGCCGGTGTCCCCCAGATGGGAAAGTTTACTTCTTTTTTTTTGGTTTAGTCTGTTTTTTTTTTATATTTTGTTGCCGGTCTTTTGTTGGCTGGCTATCTGGCTGGCTGGCTGGCTCCTTCTTATGTGTAATGTTCTTTCATGTTGCAAAACGATTTGTTTGTTGGATGCAAGATTTATGAACTTGTTTTCGCTGACAGCCGACAGTAGTTAAGGTAACACACACACACACACACACGCACACACCGTAGCGCATCCGTGTGTGTGTGTGTGTGTGCGTGTGTGCGTGAACATGCCGCCTAATTAGAAGATTTTAATTATCTGTTTTCAATCAGCTTCCATTGAGATAATGATAATGCTGCCGAAAGCCTTGTTCTTGTTTCTGTTCCGCATCGATCCCTCTGCCTCTCCCTCTCTTTTTGTAGTGCTTTTTGTTTTACTTCTTTGTGGCCGTTTAAGCCAAAATGTGGTTGACATTTCGCCGGGTCGTCGTGGTCGTCTGCCATCCTGGCCAGAGACAGCGACATTTTTTTTTGGGTAAGGAAGGTGTTGTGCTGTTGGTATCGCAGCGGCCACGCGCATGCTGCCAATAAACGCTGTCAAAGTGTCCTAAATCGATTAGAATTGATTTTGAAAGGCTCACTGACAGCCCGAAAACGGACCCGCGAGCAATCATCCTCAATTCCAGCATTGTGTACAATGGCGCGGATTACAGTTGTCTGTCGTGTTCTATGGACTCCGCTTGATGGCCGCAGCTCCAAGTCACAGTCCCAGGTCCCAGGTCCCAGGTCCCTGTTCCAGCCCCCCGGCTGGTTGCGTGTTTAAGGCCAAAGGAGGCGATGTTGCTGTCATTGACGATTTATGTCAACTGCCGCCGCGGCACAATATTCAAATTCTTTGCATTCACTCATCACTTGTCGCCAGCTCGCCAGCGCGCTGGCTCTGTCATGAGATGTTAGCCAGGGGCTCACGGCAGGGGGGACCACAGCAAGACGGCGCAGCATAACAGAACTCTAACCCTCTTCTATGTTCGTTAACAGCGCCACTGGGCTGGACTGCCATGAATGCCATGAACTTTTGAGTCGCTGAGCTGCAAAATAATGGGCCCTGGGAAACGGAACACCTACCGAGGGTTGCCGCAGAGTTAGTCACAAGTGTAACAGTTCCTTATGTCTGCAAACTCTTAAGAGCAAAACTTTTCGATCCACCCACTGGCCAACCTTCAGGCTGGACTGCTTCAAGCAGTGCGAAACTCTACCTAGTTACCGCGCAAATTGAATTCAAAATCAAAATTTATTTAACTCTAATGGATTTGGCAAGCTGAGCTGAGTGGTTGCGTCTGACCCGCCACTTGCCTTGCATGGGCGGTGGACCTGCCCCGGTTTGGGGGCATTATTCTTATCGAGAAGGTATCTGCCGTGCCATGCCGTGCCGTGGCTGGTTCGCGCGCCTTATGCCACGCCAGGCTGAGCCTCGTTGCGTTACTTTGATTTGACAGGATTCATTGTCTCCGCCACTTCAATGACTTCAAGCTTACGCGCCGGTCGGCCAGCCGTCTCTTGGATCTCTTTTGCCTTCCTTGCTCCAGAGTCTTGCGTCTGTGGATGCTGTGCCTGAGGCTGTGGCTGAGGCTGAGGCTGAGTCTGAGCTGGATGCGTATTGACATTTTAAATGCGTCCATCACTTTGGTTTGCTCGGGGCCGACGCTGACGGAATTCATTTAAATACATTTCGGCCCCAAGGGGCCAGAGCCCTGCCCCTAGCCCGACCATCCTGTGGCAGTTTAGTGGGTTGAAGGTGGAATAGGGGAGTCCACAGTGGAGGGGGTGCACTAAATTGGGCAAGAGCCAATCGAATGGAATTTATATGCGGCGGGATGGATGGATGCGAGATGAGCATTTTCGTGGCCTTTGATTGACTTGTGTCACTTTGTCTCATTTGTCAGGCGAACGCCTTCGATGTTCATCCTGGCTGCCGTGCTCCGTGCTCCGTGCTCCTGCTCCTGGCGCTTAAGTGTCAGGTGTCTCACTTTAGGGCACTCAATTGAAATGTTTTGCCTCAGGGCGAGCTACTCTCGCGCGTGTGTGGGGACTGCCTCCTGGCCGGGTTTCTTTGTGGCCAGTAAATGACATGAGCCTGCATTCAAATGCCCATCAAATTGTTACACAGTTGGGCGGGCAGCAGCAGCAGCAGCAGCAGCAGCGCGCATCCTTCTGGGCAATATCCTGCTGCAAATCCCAACTCTCGAGCATGGGATTTATGACAGCTCAATGGCAGTGCCAAGGGGACGGGCAGAGCAGGAGACTGAACGGAAATGTCCTGCCTGCTAACCGGAGATATGTTTCATATCCGCAACACGCTGCCCAACTACCCAGAAACATGAGAGATTCCCCCCATACACATTCACATTTGCACGTACGAGTAACACTCACATTCATTTCACAATTGAATGCCCCAACTGAGGAGCTGTGACAGCCAAGATTTGTTTGTTTGGGCCCAGCGACAGTGGCCAGTGTGTGCTGAGCCTAGTCCTAAACCAAAGGGTTTTCCCTTTGCATTCAGACAATGCCGC